CATATACCTTTCTGACTACAACAGAAACAATAATATTAATATAACCGGTCGGCAACTACAGTCTATCTATACTAATATTATAAAGAGGTAAAGTTTGTGAGTTTGTGACGTTGTAGGGGGTAATCTCTGGAACTACTGAATCGATTTAGATGAAATTTGGTAAGGATATAGTTTGAGATCCTGGAAAGGACATAGGATACTTTTTATCCCAAAATCATCCCTTAAACGGGTGAAAATGGGATGAAAGGTTGTAATGGGAAGCAAGTTAGGGGCGAAGTAGTCGCTAGTAATATATGTATAAAATTGAGTTTTAAGCAAATTACAACTTGAAATAACTATTCCTACCATATAATGAATATTATAAACATTGATAAATAAAAAGTAATTACTTTTAGTAAAGTTCGACAACGCAAAAAAGTCGTCCATCGCATAGGTCCAAATAGTAACTGCCCAATACTGATCTATTAACGGAGAGGCGGACCGTGAACAAGCACTACTTGGCCCCAAAGCACCAAATTAATTAAACTAAATAATTGTCATTATTCAATCACCTAACCCTGTTTGTATATTCCCTCGGTTTCCGAGGGAACCCTTTTCAAGGGAAATCTCCAGGATAAGAAAACGCTAAATAATAACTTGACGACCAAGTAATTATCGTCCATTTTGTATTAAAGTACCTTCCCGTTTCCCGGGAAAACATTTAAATTTCTATGAAAAAAGTACACGATTATTGACCAATAATTAATTGTTATAATTATTTTTTAGCGTATCAAAATAAAAGCTTGTTTTAAAAAAATGGTTTTTTACTATCCATTTATTTATCTAAATATTGAATGATACCTAATTTAATGGCAGCTGAGGATATCTCTCAGACCTGGGTGCAGCCTAGCCATGTTGAACTTTAGAACGTGGTATTATAATTGAATACATATACAAAATTTCATGTGTATGTGCTGCAGTCTGTTGAGGAGATCTCTCATTTGGAGCTAATCCTGGACGCAGCAACCAAGTCATGGTGGACTTGAGAACGGACTACAATAATAATTGAATTCGTATTTAAACTTTCGTGTCTGAACTGTTAGCTTTTGAGGAGTTGCCTCGTTTTGAGCCACTCCTAGATGAAGAATCAGGTCATAATTATAATGAAAAGTGATTGACATCGGAACTGAACCAACAAGTAAAATTTTAAGTTGGTAGGTAGGATAAGAGAAAGTGGTTCTAATTCAGCTTGCAAGATTTGACCCATACAAACATATCAACTAACAAACATTGCAAGTTAAATAAAAAAAAATTAATTGTTTATTTTATTTTAATAATAACTAGTGAAAGAAGAAATAAAAAAAATATTATATACTTCTCTACATTTTTAGTTATTTATTTATAAATCAATAAAGCTTATTATATTTATATTTAAATGAAGAAGCCAAAATAAATTATTTCATAAAAGCTCCCAAAGCTACACATGAGAGTTTCTAGCAAATTTATTTTCGTAACCCCATTAATTCAAGCCGTCTTCCTTTATTTAAAATAATCAAACTCGCTCTGCAAGACAAACTACGAGTATTTCGTTATTAACGTTCAAAAATTTTAAGACCTTTAGAAGCTGTTAAAATTAAAATGCTCAAATAATTATTGTCACATGTTTTTTTTACTAGCAACCCGCCTCCGCTTCACTTGTTCGACCTTTTTATTATACAACACTTAAAGTACCCACTTTTAAAAATGTTCCACTTAAATAAGCAACTCGAAAAAGTTTTGACACTTCCTTTTTAAGATTATAAGCTATAATAATAGCACATTTTATACCAGCACGCACACCTGTGGCTACGCCCTCAGTCTTTTACCAGTACATTAAATTTTATATCTTAAAATAACAACATTATACTTTTTTAGATTTACGCGAATATTTCACATTTTAAATAAAACTACCTATTCGGATTTGTTCGCGGATTTATTTTGATTTTTGGTTAACGATATTTCAAATGCTTTAGCCTCTCCCGTGACCATAATTGCTGCAAAGCATTCGAAACGTTGGAAACCAGAAATCACAATAAATCCGCGAAAAAATCCGAAAAAATAGTTTTATTTAAAAAAAACATTTTTAAATACCTATTTTTTAAGTATATTTTTTATGAATTGAATGTAAATAATGAAATTTTACATTTAGTTTAGACTTATTTGTATTTCCTTTAAATAAAACAAAAAATCGAAATTTAACCAAACTAAAATAACGAGAAATAACGAAACAAACCAACAGTAATATTTTAAAACTCCCAAGCCAAAATCTAGACACATTTCCTTAGTTGGACCCTGTAATGGGTCGTTGAAATGTTTATAGCACCCATTTTACGTTCTGTGAAAAACAAATCTTCGATCTCCATAAATCTTAGCCGAACAACGATTTATTTATTGATTAGCGCAAGGAAAGTGCGTAAAATAACAAACAAACAAAAGAATTACATATCTTTATAACATGTATGTATGTCGGTTTATTACACCACTTATAACTCGAGAACTACTGGACCGAATTTCATGGTTTTTGATTTATTAGACTTGTCTCAGCCTCGAATAGCAGAATAACTATTAAAACATCGGAAAAATTCACGAAAAAAAAAATGAGAAAAAGATCTATACCATACTAAGAGTCAAAACGTACCTACTAGGGACGAACCTGAGCGAAGCGAGGGTGAGTCGCTAGTAATAAATTAAATAGTAACAAAGCGAAATCTGTACATGCCATATTTATAAAAACTGTAACGTATATTGTGTACAGAATATAGACCCCCAAAACAATAGTTATTGAAATTTTTATCTGTTTGTCTGTATGTCTGTTTAGTTTTTGTCTATATATACCTATATCAAAATGCATACAGGCCTACATAAAAATCCACAATACTATATACATATATCTCTTGTTATATATTACACATTATACAACAATTATTTTTATCTACATCTGATGATGATGTTCTCCTGACCGATTCCGGCCACGGCGGCCAATCTCATTGAGACTAGCCAACTGCGCAGGAGATATTATAGTGCAGCACGTGTACGCGCAGACACAACGTGCACTCTCTATTCCTGTCACTCTCATACTCCGGTGGGACGACTGCTCGACACGACCAGTGAGAGTTAAGGCGCAGAACCGACGGCTTTACGTGCTCTCCGAGGCACGGGGGTGAAACACCTCCAACTTCCCAACTCCGGGCTATTACTGAGGCTTAATATACAGAAACACTCAATAACTAAACTTGGCCCGACCCGGGACTCGAACCCAGGACCTCCGGATGTGCAGCCGTACATGCTAGCCACTACATCTATACTAATATTATAAAGAGGTAAAGTTTGTCAGTTTGTGACGTTGTAGGTAATCCTAGATCTACTGAACCGATTAAGATGAAATTTGGTAAGAAAATAGTTTGAGACCCTGGGAAGGACATAAGATACTTTTCATCCTGGAAATCATCCCTCAAGTGGGTGAAAATGGGGATGAAAGTTTGTATTGGAAAGCATGCTAGAGGCGAACCCGAGCGAAGCGAGGGTGAGTCGCCAGTAATATATGTATAAAACGCACCTTTCTAGTTACTTTATAACAACGTTACTCAATAAATAATTTTGAACAAGCTTAGCATTAAACAATGAATCCTTCCCTCGAAATTTTCAAGTAGGTACCTATATAAAAATGTTACAAGCATATAATTATATTTCATGGAAAGAAAAATGAAGGTAAGATTATAATATAGATATAGAGCTCCATATAGGATTTCCATGTTTTAGTTTAGAGTAATGTTTTCATTGCCCGTTTATCATGTTTACATTTAATCAGCTTTGGACAAGTTGTCTTTTTCTAAAAAGATGATATTTATATGTAACACTAGCCACTTACCCTCGTTTCGCACGGGTGCGTCTGTAGGTACATTTTAATTTATTGAACGGAATCCTTTTTTTTTCTTTTCTAATTTCCAAAACAAAAATATATAAGTACCTAAATAATTTATAATTAATTAATAATTGAATTACCCGAAAAGCGGGTAGTTTTAGGTGATTTTTGATGGCGGGTAATTTTGTTCAGTATTTGCATTGAGCGGGGTATAAGCAGGTATTTTAGTTTAGCTGGCAACATTATCATAATTGTAATTTAAAAAATATTATAACAGCTCATCGAAACTCACTGAACACACATAAATTATAATGTTGTTGCAATATTTGCCGCGCGGGAAGGTATCCGTAAAACAGGAGGTATCGTGAAATTAGAGTCAAGTGTTCAAATGTTGCGAACCAAATTATGGTCTTCTTCTGACTATACAAAACTAAGTACCATAGAGTATATTATTAAAAATGCGACATATAAAAAGCCAAGTACTAGCGGAAATTGATTAATTTGATATTTTAAGTTTTTTTTTATGTTTGATTCAATAATTTAAAGCTTTTTTAAAACTATCTTTTCGGATTTTGTCGCGGATTTATTTGCATTTTTGTTTCCCGACGTTTCGAATGCTTTACAGCATCCATGGTCACGGGAGAGACTGAGGTGTTACATGTCTTGGAGGTATAGTTGTTACAGACAGCCTACCCACAATTAACAAAAATTTGTAACTAAATCCGCGACAAAATCCGAAAAGATAGTTTTATTTAAAATGTCAAATATTCGCGTAAATCTAAGAAAGTATTAATTTAAAGCTGTTTAATTGAGAACTGATTACAATGACTTCTTTTACTTACATTAGTACTTTCTTTTATTCTATACGAATTAATTACTTTAAAAAAACTATTTTCGCGTATTTTGGCGGGATAATTTATTGGTCGGGTAAATCAACGACTGTTATCTGGCAGCCCTGCTTGAAGCTGATAGTGTTATCACATATCAACTTATCAGTTGACACTTGACAGCAACTTTGTTTTAGAATTTAGAAAAAGATTCTCAATAGTTTTTGTAGTAGATTTAACTTTTATTTTTAGATATTAAATAGTAGAGAGGAGAAGAAACGTAATTTTTCATAATGGCACCTAAAGCATCGGGTACGCATTTTTAATAATATTGAAATAGACTATAGTAACTATATTAAAATATTTTAATAGCTTATTTGGTAAAAAGGTTTAAAGGTATGTGCATTTTTTTCAGTTTTAACAAATTTCACCAAAGTATGTATGGACAAAAATAATATTGAAAATCAAATAGACAAGATCTTGAAAAAATATCCTGTAACAGAATCCGAAAATTATAAACAATGGTTATTAAAGGCTGTTAGTTTAATAGATTTGACTACACTCTCAGGAGATGATACAAGATCTAACGTCAGTAGATTGTGTCGAAAGGTAAAAACGATCTTAGGTAACAGGTTTTTGTTGCCTATTATTTAAATATAGATATAAATATTTAAATATAGGTTGAATAATAGGCAAATAAAACCAGTTACATATTATTGTGTCCATTTCAGGCTGCTTATCCCCTTTATACTAATGTTGAAGAAATAAAAACAGCAGCAGTGTGTGTTTATCCGAACAGAGTTAAAGATGCCTATGATACTATCAATCGGATGGGACTTACAAATAAAATTCAGATAGCTTCAGGTTAGTGCTCAATATATTTTACTGTATGCAAAAATAGTATAAACAAATTAGTTTGAAAGGTTTCTTTTTTTACATATATTACATGGAGATATCAAAGGCTTTATTCATTATTGTGATTAAGACTGTATTTATCCAAATGTCAAATATATAAACATGTAATGGTTTGTCACATAAATCAAGCAACCCTATGAAAGTATTAAAATTTTAACAACTTTTTTCTAAAAGATGTAGTAACTAAAAAAGTATACTTTAAAATTTAATCTCATAAAAGGTTAGTAAGTTATGAAATAAAAGTTTGTAAAAAGGCAATGCAGTGAGAAAGAATATTTTTCAGAGTAAAAATATAAAAAAAAAACAAATAGGCAAAGCTAGGTCACATCACCACTTGTAAGGCATTATTGCAAAGTGGGATATTTGAGCTAGCGTGGATTTTCCATACTATTTCCTAAAGGTTGTGTGTTTCTCTCCTGTAAGTTTTTCTAAATAGACTTTTATTGACTATAATATGTAGATTTTGGCCTGGCAAATATATCATAATCGAAGGTGCTACAATGTCTTAAAAAACTGTATTAAATTATAATTAAAATATTTGTTGTTTTAGTTGCCACAGGCTTTCCATCAGGTTTGTATCCACTAGAGACAAGAGTACAAGAAATTAAATTTGCTGTGGAAAATGGTGCTACTGAAATAGATGTTGTTATTGATAGAAGTTTAGTTCTGACTGGACAGTGGGATTTGTTACATGATGAGATTGTACAAATGAAGCAAGCTTGTGGAAATGCACACCTTAAGGTCATACTTGGTGTTGGTGAACTTGGGACTTATGAAAATGTTAGTAAATATTAAATATCAAGAGGCCACCTGCACAAAAAATAAATAAATGAATAAAAATTATATTAGCACAAGTTACATATCTTAATGATAAGTCCAGACAAAGTTAATTACAAAATTATATGTTGCTTATTTTGTATGTATGTTGTAAGTATGTTATTGCTGACTGTACTATGCCAAACCTATATTACCGACAGCACTTTCCTTCCTATATTACAATTAATAAAAAATCTTAAAATGAAAACTAGTATGCATAAATAAATAATCTATAGATTTATAAATCTGCTTCTACTCACAAATTAATTATTGTCAAGTCAAACTAGAGAATCTTCAGACCTGAAATGTTGACTTATAATTGCTGCTGGCTGCTGCTTTGTCAGATTAAAATGAAAAGTAGTGCTAAAAATCTGAGGTGATCTTATAGTTTTATATAATTCTGTTATATATTTTTTGTACAGGTCCTTACTAATATTATAAATGTGAAAGTTTAGATTTTTGGATGTTTGTTACTCAATCACGCCAGAACGGCTGAGCGGATCTAGATGAAATTTGGCACAGAGATAGATTATAGTCTGGTATAGATACATAAGCAACTTTTTATCCCGGAAAAATGTACGGTTCCCGCGGGATAGATTTGTTTATAAATGTATATTTTTCAGTAATTAACTTACTACTTGGCTGCAAACTGAAAGTGATACGTTAAGGTATAAAGTCCATCAACTTGCATTGGCTAGAGCAATAAAGCTTTAGAAATAAGGAAATAAAAATAATAATATAATAGCATGATTTTATTCCATATATAGGTTTATTGCTTCTAGTAAGTGCAAGTTATAGTTTCCTTATAGTCTCGTGCTCTACTTTTAATGGTAAAGATAGACTGTAGTTATTTTCTTTATTATTATTTTTCTTATTCATTAGGAGTAAAAATTTTTTTAGATAATATAAATAGTGTTGCCTTAGATAAATATTATTGGCCAATGCTACTACATAGTTGCAACACAAACACTACAAAGATTATAAACATTGATACAGATATTAATTTCAGGTTTACAAAGCATCTATGGTTGCAATGTTGGCTGGTGCTGATTTCATAAAAACATCGACTGGGAAAGAATCTGTTAATGCGACACTTCCAGTGGGCTTGGTTATGTGCCGAGCTATCCGACATTTCTATCAGATGAAAGGAGTTAAGGTAGTGCATGTTATCCCATATTAATATTATAAACTGTATTATTACGTCACTAGACTACTGATTCATCGACACTCAGACTTGACCTAAAAGATATAAATTTTAACAATCTAATTCTATAATCAATTAAATAAGCAGTAAAAAAGGATATTTTGGATGAAATGAGTACTATAAACAATATTTTTCCATCTATTTATTTGTTGTAGGACATTTTTATTTCACTACCCCTATTTTTTATTTAACAACATTAAAAAAAAATTATCCAGCGATCCACATGAGACACCTATTTATCAGATTCCAGTCATGTACATATAATAGTTTTCGGTTAAAATGGCTCTAACACACGGACAGACTGGCATGACGACATTTTAAAAGGGTTTGGTTTAAAGCTACGAAACCACCCGATTATCGCTCTTTAAGTAGCCTTATAAGTCATAGTTTCTACTATTACTCTGCAAGTAATGTAAAATATCTAAATGCTTTTATATCTGAAACTTTATATATCTTTTATTTGATCGTACATTAATTTACATAACTATTATACTATCGTAACTTTTTAACTTGATTTTTTATAAGACATGACAGGATCTGGAACTATAAAGTTGAAAAAATGCTTAAATTAAATTTAGAACCGATTTCGATTATCCTAACCGGATCAAAACTTGCTGGAATCTTATTTTTTTTATTATACCATACCATACTATTAAATCGAATGTAAAGTATATATATATATATATATATATATATATATATATATATATATATATATATATATATATATATACACAAAGTAAACAATTTTCACATAAATTTCCAAATAAAGGCTATTAAGTTATTACCTATGATAATACTTTATGGCAATATTTTATATCACAAACAGGTAGGACTGAAACCCGCTGGGGGTATAAAAATGTCGCGAGACGCCGTGAATTGGTTGGTTTTGATTTACAGCGAGCTAGGTCCAGAATGGCTCACCCCTGAATTATTTCGCATTGGAGCTTCTAGCCTTCTCGATGTTATAGACGAAGATTTAAGAAAATTGAACGATTAAACTTTTGTATTATATACAACTTAAATATTTTTTATGCATTTAAATCAAAATAAATGTTATTTTCAACCAACTTCAAAAAAGAGGAGGTTCTCAAATCGACTGTATTTTTATAAATATAAAATAATATAGTATAACAGTTGTTCTGTAGTTTTTTTATTAAAATGTTTCAATAAATAATTTTTTTTGAACATTCTTTTATTTCAACATTTGCATGGTAATTAAACATAATATCCTTATAAAGGCTATATTTACAATATCTACATTAATATTAGTATTAGGTACAACAACGAGACGGATCTAAGCTAGAACAATATTTTTAAGGATAATAATAATAAAACAAAATATAATGCACCATAAATTAAAAAAAAACGTGTGTGTGTACTTATGTACGCACGTAAGAAGTTATACTTCTTTGGCGTAACAGAACAAAAATAGCTAAAGATTTCATCCCGTAACACAACTCTCTGTTTGTAAAAGGAATGCAGCTAACTTCATCATATCGCTTTTTGGCTGTCGGTGTGCGCGTGCATCGTAAAAATTTTACTCTCATAATTTTTTCCAACGTGCCAAAAGAAGTATAACTTCAATAACTTTGCACTTATGAACACTCCATATTCGAAATTAGCGATTATTATTTATTCTGAATTCAAATCAAGCTAAGGATTTAGCTTCATTTGAATTCAGAATTCTTCTTGCTTCTTTATAAAGAAGAAACAATAAAGAGAATAACGAAGTAATATGACGAATAAGGTTTTTAGTTTTTTAAATATAAAATTTTGTCTCTAATTTTGAGGCATTCATAAACAAAAGAATTAAAAGAAAGCCTCTACATGCTTCTGTTACATTACTCACTGGTGGAGTATACGCTTAGATCCGTTCCTATACATAGTTTTAAGCTAAAGTTTTATTCCTTCTCCGCGGGTGTTTCAGCTCGAAATCCGTGTTCCGGGTCGGCGTCGTAATTAACTACGCGAAGTTTCCCAAACTTATCCACGTATCCGTAATGACCTCGTACATGCCCATCATTGTCGCGCTCCTCGTATCGGAACTGACGGTTCTTACTGGAATTTAATTATAATTATTATATCAATTCGTTTAGAATATTTGTATGTATTCAGCCCTTTTTAAAGTCCCACCGCTGGGCACGGGCCTCCCTTCAATACGAGGGAGATCAGGCCATAGTCCACCACGCTGGCCAAGTGCGGGTTGGCGGACTACACGTGTCTTAAGAAAACTTGCTAGGTTTTCTCAAACATGCAGGTTTTCTCACAATGTTTTCCTTCACCGTAAGGCAAGTGGTAATCAAGTTAGAAATGATTCGCACATGAAAATATCAGAGGTGCGACACCCGGGTTTCGAACACGTTTTACTGGGTTTCCCAAGCGAGCGTGTTACCACTGGGATACCACTGCCTGTAGAGTATTATAGGTTATATTTAATAAACTACTGATAAATTACTAGCAATAAGATAGAGAAATTTCATGCCTATACTATCGTTGATTGGTTAAGGCTCCGAAAACTCGCACAAGATAATCACCTAGAATCAAACCTAGACTACGATAATAATTATCTGCTATGCACATCTACATGTCTAATCGTCATGCGAGGGTCGAATCCATAACTGCCAATATAGAAATCTGTTTTGTAACCACTGTAATGAATAACTACTTACTAAAAATATTTTTTTGAATGATTGAATTTTTGACATTGTTAATAGATTTTTTACGGATTATTTAATCTACATTTCTTTCAGTCAGTGCGCTAAAACAGGTCTTGAGATGGCGAACAATAATTTAAAATACCCAAAACATACAGTTCTGTGGAGCCAAAATAAGACAATGTGCGACGAGCGATGCAACTTTTTTCTTTTAGAAACTCACCCTTTTCCAGTATCGTAACCAAATTGATAACTATGCGGGCCTTTCATCCCGTGCATTCGAAATTCGGTACGTTCACCGTTCGATTTGATTACTGGCTGCTTCAAAGGTGCAAGAGGCGCTCTTTTTGGTGGATATGCATCGCCTGAAATATATTTAAATATCTTTTAAGTTCCGAATTAATTTTATTTAAAATAACTTTTTCATAAAAAAATACAAAAACGAGCTTTGGAATAGTACCTAACAGTATAATTAGATAATTTTAATTTATGTATTATTATGATGAAGATCATGCCAGAAGTCATTTCATTACGGGATGAGTTAAACAGATTTTCGTCGGGTCTTATTAAAACAAAAGGCACTGGCCCTTAAATTTCAAATGTGTAAAGATGAATGAATGATATATTTTAAATTTTATTATATGAGATGTAGATGAAATTTTAAATATACGATTGTGTTTATTCAAAATATTATATTCTTCTGAGGCTTTGGTTAGAATTTATATAAATGTATTTTCTAAATCTAAATAATTTTCGAACCACTAAAAATTGCGAATAACATATAATAAAATTACAACTAAGCCGAATCTGTACATTAAATATTTTTTGGAAAATCTTATTGAAATAAATATTATTATCGATACAGAGGCCGAATCTATAGTTTTAGAATTTTTGTCTGTCTGTCTGTCACCGCATCACAGAAAAACCACTGGAGGTATTTTGATGAAATTTGGTATGGCGATAGCTGGTTATGCGGATCAACATATAGGATACTTTTTACCGCGGGAAAATATCTCATTTCTGAGAAAAAATACAAAAACTAAAATGTAAGAGTATACTAATATGAAAAACCTAAGAATTTGGTTTTTGGTCATCTGAAGCCTGAAGGCGGGCGGAGCCGCGGGCAATGCTAGTAGTGTATAAAATGATAGATTTTAAGGTCCCTGGCACATAATACAGATATACATATTATGTACTTACGTCCAGGTTCTCTATAATGAGTTTCAGATGTTTCCTGTTCTAAAGGTTTTTCTTTGTTAGGATCACCAGTTGTTGCGGCTAACTGTAAGAATGCATTAAATTATTTGTAATTATAATACTTATTCTTAGATTTAAGCGAATAGTTGACATTTTAAATGAAACTATCTTTTCGGATTTTGCCGCAGTTTGTTTTTAGGGTTCCGTAGTCAACAAGAAACCTATAGTTTAGCCATATCCGTTTGTCCGTCTGTTCGCAGCTTAGCTGTAAAATGGGGATGTTTTGTTTACTCGTCTACCCCATGGGGGTGTCGATGGATATTGCGGGCTTGTAAAAACTATTTTTCGATTAAGAGATTCGTTTATGAAATATTAGGTTTTAAAATACTAATTTTTGATAGAGTCAAGTGTCCCAACCGCTAAATGGATGATTTTGGACATCTGAAAACAAGCACGGTAGTAGTACCTAAGTATATGTTCATATGGAAGTTAAAAGGAAAATTATCACAGCTATCTAGCAGCTTAGGCTTTACAAATTACAAGTTTACGAGTAATAATTGACCAACTTATAGAATGACAAGAAGTAAAAATTTCATATAAATTCCATTGAAAATTACTTATATAACGTGAGTTGTGTAAAACATCCAGTAAGTATAAAATTATGAACCATGTAAGTATAGTACCAGTATGATAATTGAAAGTTGAAACAACAAAAAGCCCTCTTCATAGTTCGCATTATTGTGATGGGCAACTACGGAACCCTATATTGGGCGTCGCCCGACATGTGCTTGGTTAATTTTGGTTCCCGAAGTTTCGAATACCTTACAGCATACAGGCACAATAGCGACTAAAGTTTAGGAAGTCTAAAAGTTATTAAATAGGTAGGTATATAGTTATTATTGACGGTATTTACCCACAGAATGATTCGCGAAGCTATACGAAAAGATAGTTTTTAATTGTATTAGTTTATCTGTAAATTACTTAAGTAACAAATAATAAAAAATACACCTGTGCAGCTTCATATTGTTCCTTTAATTTACGCTTTCTCTCAGCTTTCTCGAACAAGTATTTCTTTTTTTCATCAACAGGTACTGAATATTCATTATCGTTATTTGATACTGGTTTTAATGGCTTTGGTCCTTTGACAATTGGCGCTTCATCACCTTCGTTAATCTGCGATATCGGTATAGGTACAGGTCTGAATTCGCCATGAAATTTTTTGGGATACAATAATGTGGGATTTTTATATGTAAGTAGCATCTCTTTAGGAGGAGTAATATATGGAACTGGAATATTTGGTTTTATTCGTAATTTTCGTGGATACTGTTTCTCATAAATAGGTCGTGAAACAAGTGTTGGATTATCTGTATTCTCATAATTCATTAAAGTATGATCTATTTCCTCGGAAGGCAATTCTAACTCAACAGATGGAGATAATATTAAAAAATCATTAGGGGCGTCTTCACGTGGTGGTAAAAGATCCCTGGAAGGCACTGGTACTTCTTTGCTCTGTAGTACTTTACCAGTTCTATAATTTCCATTGACTATTTGGGATTCTTGCCGTTCATTTTGAATTATCGGTATAACTTCAATTTGTTTTTGTGGTGCTGCAGATATTGGATACCAGTCAGACTGTTCTCCAGACTCTGTCGGCTTATAATAATATTCATTCTGCGTGTTTATAGCAGGTGGCAGCAAATAAGTAGCTGGTGTAACCAACACATCATGCAAGGTTTCTTCAGGCGTATGAGGATTTGGTGGGACTAAGTAACTATCAACATTCACTTCATCAGTAGCATAATATATAGGTTGTACTTGAGGTTGCTCTTCAATTATTGGTACTTCACGTAATGGTGCCGAGTCTGAACTTTTTGGGGTATTATCTGTATTTTCAATCGGTATTTTAACTGCAGCAACTGACAGAACGGCTAAGGAAACCTGTAATGTTTGAACAAATAATAATAGAGTAATTTAAATTAAGAGCGAACAGTTACATAAAGTAATAAAATCTTATTAAAAAAACTAGATCACAATGATTTAATAGTCCAACAAACAAACTAAAAAGATTAAATTTTTTTTCTATTACATCACGCAACGTAGTTTTGGTCAAGAGAAGTATGCCATGATAAGAAAAAGTGTTCAAAAAGACCAACAGAAAAGTTTTCCACTCAATCTTATTGTGGCGATCGCTTTATCTATAGTTCGTTTCACGCTATTAACGGACCTTTAACTACCAACTTAATTACAATGTATTATAGAACATTTTATATCCATACAACTTAAATGTTTTAAAAAGATTTTTTTGTAAGTAGGTAATATTTACAGCAAAAATACAACTTAGGTAATCTTTATTTCTAACGAGTTGTCCCGCGGCCCCCCTCGCCTATTTTAATTATGTATTACTATATCTTTACAAATTATGTTTAAGTTTCATAATATTTTTTGCGTGAAAGTATAAAAAACACACGTCCCACAAACTTTCGGATTTATAAAAATAGTTCGATAATTTCATAGGAAGTATACCTATAATCGATATAAGGATATATATATAAAGAAATTTTCAACGACGTAAACCACGTGGAAAGCAGAAATAGTTACAAAAATCACATGTTACGTTCTTTATTCATTTGTTTTCGAGATAAATGCAATACTATAGACAAATGAACAAAACACTGTAAATAAATACCTATCGTTAATATATATATATATATATATATATATATATATATATATATATATATATATATATAATCGACGATCTATAAAAGAGAAATATCTAAGCATCCGACAATGGTACTTTAAAGTGAAAATGAATCTATGAAATTGTAATTATATGGGTTTAATTTTATGAATGTCACGACTAAAATCTTAACCTTTACTTACAATTTGACTTTGAGATACAATGCTTACACCATTTAGGTACATTTAATTTCAAGAGCCTTTGTAATTTGTAGTAATTCAGCGTCTCTTTATCTCATTACAAATATAATGACAATAGGGATTTCTAAAGACATTTTGCATTGAGTAATTTTGCCGCGACTTGGCCCTTTCAACTCCTATTAGAAAATTAAACACTTGAATATATATTGCATTCTACAGAGTAAAAAAAAATTTAAGTAACCCCCCGACACAAAAAAACCTATAAAAAGAAAAAAAAGAAAATTTCTCTCTTGGCCTTTTAACTTCACTAAAACTAAGTCATATCACAGATAATATAATACTATACTAGTAGTCATATCTTAATGATGAACGCCGCCGCGTCGGAGAACCACTAAGTAAATAAAATTAAAACAACTTCCACCAGCCTAAGTCTTATGTCCACCGATCGCCGATATTACCGAAGAATGGTTCTCGAGGCGATTGAGATTAAGAAACATAAAAATTTCACTCGTCAGGATGGATACAGGTTGTCTGCGTGGAGTCTAATGATAGAAAAATTAAAGTATCGCGGTTGTCCGTCCAACGCACCGGTGGAGAATATTAGTACCGTGTGTAGCGGATATTATAAATTGTGAAGATCAAGTGAGGGTGCCTGCGAAAAACTTCTCCGATCCGCCAGTCTGCCCGTGACTACGGCTGGTTCAACCCAGTTGAAACGTCGGAAACAAGATATCACCTCCAGGTAAATTTCTAAGAAATCTATTGTTAACTATAACGCCGGAGTGTCCGCGGTCGTGGAGGGATTAAATAGCCACTTACAAATTCACGTGTTAAGTCCCGTAGTGTAATTATTACATTCGATTATTCATCCCCACTTTCACCCCATGTCTAAAATGGCTGAACCGATTTTGACAAAACATGTCTGATTGTAATATACACATCATGCGCTTTCATTTGATAGTCAACGTGGGTATATTTGAAAATATTCGATTTTTCAAACCCACTTTCATCCTCCATATCTAGTAAAAGCTGCACCGAATTTCATAAAACATATGTACTATCTAAGAACCATCTCCCAGAAACTAGCTTTCAAATTAATAAAAACATATCTAAATCGGTTAACTCGTTTAAGAGCTACGGTGCCACAGACAGATACACGCACACACAGCGGTCAAACTTATAACACCACTTTTTGCATCGGTTGTTAAAAAGATAACCGTTTATTACAAAAATAAGTCAGCGAATGGCTTAAGAGGCCGGACACTGGACATGTTTTTTTTTCGTATTTTTCGCAATGGGCAGGGTACTGTGAGACTACCCTAACGTGCAGATATATTAGTATTATATCCTACCAAGTGTAAAATACCTAAATGTAATAAATAATATTTAACATTTCATAAAGTAAACAATGCATTAATATACCTATCTATATATTATCTTAAAATTTGACTTTGGTCTATATTATACATTTTACTTATTAAAATTTGACGAAATATTTATGTTGTTTCTATTATATACTTAATATACCTCATATAAATAAAATCTACTATGTATGTAATGTATGACCTGCCAGACAACTGCTTAAGACGGAACCGTAAGCCCAGAGTAGCTTTACGAGGAGAACGCGATCGCGACAACGGTCACAAGCCGCTGACTATTTGGATCATGTTATATTAATAACTGCCGCGTACTCGCAACCACTGTGCAGTGTCGATCATATTATAAACCTACTTTTACAATTAGTTACAATCGTCTCGCCTCACCTTTAGGCTTTAATACACTGTAGGGAGCTTTCTGTCTACAAATTATGTTTATAGACCACCACGTATAGATAGGGTTCCGTATCACAAAAGACACCATGAAACGCTATACATATCTTGTGTGTCTATCTATCCGTCTTTAACGCCATATTTTCACTTAATCTACTAAACAACAAAGTTAACACTTAGAACATACTCGTATCATAGAGTTAATGATAAAAGTGTTAGTGGATATTACCATAAAATTAAAAATAAATTTATAAAAATGAAAGAGCTTGAAAGGAACAACAAATATGTACGATAATACTAAATAGGAAAAAAATACGAAAAGAAAACCGTAAGTCATTAATCATTGAATTAAAACACTTAATATCGCATTTACAAATAAAATACAGGGAATTAATCATATGAATTATGTATATACTTTCGATGATTGCATTACCTGAAGTGTTTATATTACTATTACGGAATACATCTAATATCTTTAAACTAGCAATTCTTGTATATTTATATATTTATTTATATCGGCGATCTCGGAAACAGCTGTAACGGAATCGCTGAAATTTGATAAGCGGGGGTTTTTGGGGGCGAAAAATCGATTTAGATTAGTCTTATGTCCCAGGAAAACGCGTGTTTTCTAGTTTTCATGCGGTTTTCTTTCGCATTATTCACTCACATGGTGTCCGGGTTCGAATCCCGGTCGGACACAAAGTTTTTACCTTTTGTTTTGTATTTATTGAAGTTTTTAGTTTTTATTATCTAAAAATACGATTTAACAAAATAAAACTTTGAGCAAAGCTCGGTCGCCCAGATACTACATACTTATATATGCAAGTATTAACAACCAAGAAGCGAATTTGACCCTACTCTCAGTCTTTTTATTGTTTTAGTCACTTGCCCGTGGCATTTGGGAACTCTCGACGTATCGAATAAAGACTCTCAAAATTACGTTAAATTATCAAATGCAACAATAGTATTATTATTTAATAGGTAATTTATTAATTTTAAAATTTTAATACCGTAACTACATATGACTAACTGACTATATATGAAGTTGCAGTAAATAAACATGGCTTCTTGGTTCTGTTGTTAAAATCAAGCAATATTGGGGCAATGGCAATATTATATACTTAGCACTTTGTGGCCAGGGTTAATGGTGCGGATATATTCACTTTCTAGGACCGTCCTAGAAAGCTACCGCTTTCGAAGGCGATAGAACGATATTTCTGAGGTTTTCATTTTAAATTACTTAGATGTATCTACAAACGTATCATCTATACATATAATAAAATTGTAACTAAGTCGAATCTGTACATTAAATATTTTTTGGAAAATCTTATTAAAATAAACATTATTATCGATACAGAGGCCGCATCTATAGTTTTTAGAATTTTTAGTCTGTCTGTCTGTCTGTCTGCCTTTTACCACATCACAGAAAACCCACTGGAGAGATTTTGATGAAATTTGGTATGACGATAGCTGGTTATCCGGGTTGACATATAGGATACTTTTTACCGCGGGATAATATCTCATTTCTGAGAAAAAATACAAAAACTGCATTGTAAGAGTATACTCTTATAATAATATGTAAAAGCTAAGAATTTGGTTTTTGGTCATCTGAACGCGGGCGGAGCCGCGGGCAGTGCTAGTATACTATAAATTAGGTATATATAAACCTAAAATGTGATAAGAACGCCCATTAACCAATAGTACCTTAAAGACTAGGTACTGTTAGTACTTAGTACTAGAAGTTGGTGCGGCACATGGGGACTCAAGTGGAACGAGGTGAGTCGCTAAAATATAAGCTTTAAGCTTAAAAATTTTTCTTAACAAAATTTGCTTTATATTTTGTAATATACAAGCCAGGTTGCAAGTTCATTGTAGATACGTTGAGCTTATTTTACGGGCCATTATACTTTTAATGAAGTATCTCGACGAGAGATATTTAAATGAAAGTGCAACTAATAGGCGATTGACTTACAGTAAAGGAAAAAAGTAGCTGGGACTTAAAAGTCCATATTGGCCATATTTGTTACGTGATGATTATGTAGGTGAGAAAGTCTACTTGTTTGTCGTTTCGTTATTTAATCGATTTTATTACTTACATTTTGCTCTCGTTTACAAATGTAATATTTATATAACACAATTTAATGTATCAAGGTAAGACTTTATTAATAAGATAAAGGAATATAGATCCATATAAAAAAGTGCATTAAAAATATATTATAAGGTAAAGTAAAACTTTAAATGCATGGAGAGTAAATTTTAATATTATGCTTCGATTTATGTTATCTATTTAACTATATATAATTATTACTTTAAAATAAATATTAGGTAGTGTTATTTAATATCTTTATAGGTCTATACTAAAACTAAAAGATTATAACTAAAATAAACGAACTTACATTAAAAAAATCTTTTTGATATGAACTATGATGAGTATATTGGATGAAGCAATAAAGCAGCAATGATAATATATAAAACAAAAACGAATCTATCCCTCGGGAACCGTATATTTTTCCGGGATAAAAGTCTATGTGTTATCCCAGACTATAACTATATCTGTGCCAAATTTCATCCCGATCCGTTTAGCCGTTCTGGCGTGAAAGAGTAACAAACATCCATACTCACAAACTTTCACATTTATAATATTAGTAGGTAAGTATAGATTTTATTTCATTCAGTTTGAATTATACTTAATTCAAACCTTACTAGGTTTAAAAAATTTATATAAATATTAGTCGAGCAAATCATAATTTTTTTAATTAATAAAACGCGATATTGTTACCAAATCTAAATTAATTTTAATGATTCTTTTTTTATATATTTATTTTAAAAAAAAAACAAGAATATCTTAATAAATCATACTTACTAAAAATGATGGCAACCACATCTTGTTATAGCCACCAATGACTAACTCACATAAATTTACGTTTTTATATGATAAACAAGATAATATAATTTATCACAGCACAATTTTTATTTCATTTATTGTTGATTATTTGTCTTACAGCTGCGTGCGCGCAACTTCTGATAAAGAAATAATGAAGGCGAACGGCGGTCACGCTTGCATTTTATAGATGACCAACTCCGTTCCATTGTATAGGAAATTGACTTAAAAGTTTTGTTTTGTTTAACATAAGTTAGATAAGTTGTTGATGCTGTCTGCACATTTATTGAGTGATCGATTCATTTTTGATTAAGATTTTTTAATGAATAAATATAATTACCAAAGATAAAAAATATTTATTTAAAATAATAAAATTAAGAATGGTTTTACACAATGAGAGCATAAAACTTTACTCAATCGCGCATTTTTTCGGTGTATTACGTAAATAAACCAAACTTGTCGACGGCTCCGTATTTATATTAATTACGAAATTAAATTCTTATCAGACAATTGAACTTAATTCGATATTATTCCAGTTAATTTTCTCGAGCAGATATTCGAAAAAATTACAAAAAAAAATTAGTTTCATTTTATTATGCAATCTCAATGTTGAGTAAACACAAATACTATGTAAGTTCGTCTGTTTTAAAATTACTAGCTTTGCTATCCAACAGGCAAAGCTTACATAAGGTACACTATTTTTTGACCGTCTTCAAAAAGAAGGTACGCAATTCGGGTGTGTGTTAATTTTGGATTTGTTATAACCATCATAAGTGTTAAGGAGCATGTGTAGTAAGTAGTTCGTATGCAGTCTTATGACGGGGTCCTACATATATGTATAATGAGCATTCCTTCAGGTACTTTCTAGAAACTACCACAGTAGCTATACTTTCAACATGTAGGTACAACACTTCTTACTTATTTACTGTCGAAATAACTTCTAACATCTATATATATAAAAATGAATTACCGAAATGTATGTACGCGATAACTTCCGATCGACTGCACCAAATTGGATAATTCTTTGTTTTGTGTTTGCTATTGTCAGGACAAGCTTTGCATAGAAGAAAATTAAAAGATTTTTTTCCTAAAATAAGTTTTTTTTAATCTGAAAATCTGATATGAAAAGTGAGTAAGTGAAATAGTTTTTACCCTGGAAATCATCCCTTAAGGGGGTGAGAATGGGGATGAAATTTTGTATAAGGAAGGAAACTAGGGACGAAGACCGAGTCGCTTGTCTAATAATAAAAATAAAATGTACATTTAAACCACTGATGCATCGATCCCTAATTTTCAAAAAGTTTTCGATTGAACGTCTTATTAAGGCACAATAGTGTCATCAAAATAATGACAGAATAATTATTTAATCTATGGTCAATGTCCTCACGAATGACAATTTTACGAATAGAGCTATCTATGCCGGCCATCGATGACAAATAAAAATGGCGGCTTAGCAAAAAACAAGCGGTACGCTGTACGCAATTTGTCTCCTAGTTTCTTTGTTTAGTAAATGGGCAATTACTATTGATGTTGGCATAGATTAGATAGAATCATTAAGCTACATTAAAAATAGTATTCAAATGAATGAATTTATTTTCTAAAGTTCAAATCGTACTAAATAACGGTTCCTATTTATATATTAAAATATACCTACATATTTATATTGTAAGATTGCATTTTTCTCTTCTAGGATGACACTAATAAAACTTCGAGATATTCCTTGCATATAAGTATTCTTATATTCAGTATTTTTGCAACATTAACTTATTTTTTTTATAATCGTCAGTATGTCTGTCCGTGTGGAAGCTACCACTGGCTCCTGCAGACAAGAGCCAGCGAGAAACTCGACAGTTACTCTTTTAAATAATAACTGACAGTATTACAAACAACTCATGGCTAGTCACTACAAAGTATAACCAACAATCGACATATTATCTCTCGCTTTCCCACCAAAAAAAAGCGCGGGAAACAAATGAAAGTCCACGCCCTTTTTTTTTTAAATACATTCCTATAGGCCAAGGTCACATATATAGATGTTACACATCATTAAAACTTAGCTAAATATTACAATTTCTTTCATTAAAATGCTCATATAGAAAAATAAACAGTATGTTATAAACATTTTATAAAATACATTTCGAATATACTTGCGCATTCCAATTGCATGCCATTAATTTTAATATACAATAACAAACACAAAGAGCTAACGCGAGAAGATATTGCAAAATAATAAGTTATGAGATTCTTCCTATAATTATTTTTTAACCCTATATAATTTTCGATAATGATGTACAAACGTGAATATAAAACCAGATAGATAGGTATCCAGATAATTACTTTATTATTATTTATTAATATTAATGTTTACTGCTGAGAGATAAAATAACATCAAAGATAAGATTCTCAATTTCAATATCTATTCAATAGATACTAACATTAAGAGCATTCGCACAATATTAAATTTTACTGTTATAATGTGCGGGCCCGGAGCCATCTTAATCATAGGTTGGTTGCGCTCGAAAAAAAAAAAAATTTATGAAACTTTTTTTAATTAAAAAAGAATGAAAATAAATATATAATGTTTAGGTCTTATTTCGATGGTTTTATAATCTCGAAATGCATTTTAAATTACAAACAAAATTTTCCGTGGAAAAGCGTTATACTGATTTAATTTAGCTATTGACAAATAGATTACATACGCAATAGTTGAAGGTAATCTTTAAGCCTAGCCGTGTTTTCTTGCTCATTGAACCCGAGTCTGGCTAGTTGCTTATATGTATTATATTCAGCCCTTTTTAACATCCCACTGCTGGGCACGGACCTCCCTTCAGTACGAGGGGGAACAGGCCATAGTCCACCACGCCGGCCAAGTGCGGATTGGCGGACTTCACATGTCTTTCGATAACTTGTTAGTTATCTCGGACATGCAGATTCTCTCACGATGTTTTCTTTCACCGTAAGACAAAAAGAACCCAAGAAAGAAGAAGAAAGAAGAAGAAGACCGTAAGGTAATCATGTTAGATATGATTCGCACATGAAAATATGAGAGGTGCGGGACTCGGGATTTGAACCCGCTTCACTCGGTTACCTAAGCGAGCGCGTCACCACTGGGCTAGCACTGCCTCTTAGTCAGTTACCCGACTGCAAACCGTTTAAAAGGCCATACCTATATGTATATACTTTATAGCTCGCGAAAGGAAAAGATTTATGTGCTAGCCTCTTATATATAATATAGATAAATAACATAAAAAGCTCTTTAATAAAAATATAATAAAAGACTCAAGTTCATACTTTGTTAGTTACTTTATTCGATACCGTCAGTACAGTACTATTTCATCACTTTAAAATGCAACGTTACAGGTATGACTTCGAACATTTGTACAAGACCAAATACAAGAATTAAATTATTGTAAATCACCTTACACTTCACCCACATTTATGATACCAGTTAATTTTATTTGGCGCGTTTAGGTTTAAAATAAACATCCAACAGCAATCCAGCAACATACAAAATTATATAATTAATAATACATTTTCACTGACAATAAATATTTAAAATATTTATAAGCTTGCAAAGTTTCCACTGAACAAGCTAAACTACTTAAGAAAGTTTGTGACTGCAACAAACAAAGTTGTGACTGTAACGTGCTTAAATATTTAAAACTTGAAATTCACCATCATGTTCCCTGACAAAGACTCTGCATACTATGTAAGAAGTGAAAACTTTACTTATCCTTTAATTCTCTTGAGAAAATTTCAAAATGTCACATACATACATAAAATATAATCTTATACCGACCGAAAAACGCCATATAAAACTAACAACAATTGCAATCGCAACAATTTGTCAGATCGTATTAATTCGTGTTAAAACACAGATAAAACATCTTTCTATGTAAGAATACATATATACTACTCCACTGGCTTTAGAAAGATTAAATGATAATCGAAATTTTCTAAGACGATCTGTAATATTATATGAGCCTATCTAATCTAGTAAACGATAAATACATCTTACAAACTAAATACACTTAACCTAAGTAACATATCACATCTACCGACCGTTCCATAGCCTTAGAAATGGGTATCGCACTCGCGTACAATCGCTATGTTGAATACATTACGGGATATCAACACTCGATATACACTAACGCTTGATTATTCACATTTAAAAATTAAGTTCGCTCACAAAATCCACGTACATCATCAATAAGTACCAAAAACATCAATCTTCATAGTCTGAATACCATTTATTTATAAATATAGTTAATATAAATATACAAATGTATAGCTAAATAATGTTATGAAACGAATGTAATAACCGCTCGCATCAGACACAAATAGAAGACGGCGACGTCCGAATTTTCAATAATCCGAATTATATATATATATATATATTTTTCTAAAACAATATCACTACAGTGAAATGGCAAAAATTATACAAATATAATAAAATTAAAACTACACGAGCGTCTAATCTATTCCGTGACACGTTTCAACATTCACACAAACCCATATCTTCACATGTGTAAGAGTCAAAATCCTCAGTACCGTAATATTGTTCTCATAGACACATCCTTCCTACATTGTATTGTATCCTTTATGAATCAAAGTTGTATCTGAAAAAACTATTATTATCAAAATCTTTTTATATATATATATATATATATATATATATATAAAAATATTTTTTTTTTTATATATATATATATATATATATATATATATATATATATATATATATATAAAGAACATATTATGTAAAAAATAAAAAGTAATAAAAATCGATTTAATGCAGATTAAAATATTTTAATTTAACAATTTATTTCTTTTACTTTTTAATACTAATCACTTATATACTTATACATTTTTAACTGTTGTAACATATTTACACTAATTATGTAGTATATCTCAAACCTACCTATAAACAAACCAAAAAATCATTTACAAAAAGTCATTCAAATCAAAAAAAAACATTGTCTAAAACTTGTTCTAAATCTTACTACAATTAAATAATCACAACAATCATATTATGATATAATAATTTCGTTACTAAATAAACAATGCTCAAATGATTAAAAAAAATATATTATACACAATAATGTCGTTTTTGTAATATTAGGCATATTGTATGTGCACACGGACACACTGGAGACATCTAGTAAAAAAATAAAATCACAGCAACTGTATGAACTTTGTAATTTATTATTATATACATACATCTGTATGATTGTCATTTGTTTTGTGGACTTTAAAAAAAAAGCTAATAATAATAAATAATTTTTTCAGATGCAACATTGTTCAAGGGTGTTTTACCACTGAGAGTTGGGCGGGGGGTAGGGCTCCGCAGCGGGGGCCGCGTGTGCCCCGGGCGGTACTAGAGCTCCGGGGGATACGAGGGCCCCGGGGGGTACGAGGGCCCCGGGGGGTGCGGGGGCCGCGGGAGGGACGGGGGCACCCCCGGCGTAGGGCTGCGCCGCGCCCGCGTACGGATAGTACCCGCCGTAGCCGTAGTAGGGAGCGTTGGGATACGCGCCGTAGCCCATGCTGTAGCCTGCTGACAATTTCACACTTTAATGTATAATATTACTAATCACTTACTAGTATTAGTCCCTAGATGTTTTTCACATCTATACAGATAAATAAAATTGAAGTGTCTGTTTGTAATGTCAAAATAACAGCGTTTTACTAAATGCATATGAAATTATATACGGTAATTATGGGAAAAACATTTTTTAAATTTTCGTCTGTCTGTCTGTCTTGTCTGATTGTTCCGGGTAATCTCTGAAACAGCGAGACTGATTTTGGCGGGACTTTCACTGGAAGATAGCTGATGTTATAGGGAGTAACATAGGCTACTTTTATTGTAGAAAAAGAATTAGGGTTTCGCTCAAAAAAGTAAAAACGTACCTAGGGACGAACCCGAGCGACGCTAGGGTGAGTCGCTAGTTTACAATATTACGGAACTTTCTAGAAGGGACTATTTTTTCTACATATATCGTTAGCTTATTTTTGTAATCGGTCTACTACTGTTAAGTTTGTATATGTGTGTGTAATGTTACTTGAAATAACACAGGCAACTGTTAAAATCCTAGGGACGCATGCAAGCGAAACGAGAGTAAATCAATAGTATGTTCATACATTATGTCCTTCCTAGATAACCCTTCTTTCTATTGCTAAATACCGTATGAAAATCCGTACAGCAGTTTCTGAGATTAACCCGAACGAACAAAAACTTAACTTAAGAAAAATAACATACATACATACATATAAATATAATGAATTTATTTATTTTTCCTTCCTTTGCTTAAAATTTCAACATGTATATCTGGTGTAGAAATAAAAAAAATATATAATAAATACTATTAAATAATATAAATACCTGGATATTGTCCATATGGCGTTTCAGGCGGTGGATTGCCAGAGTATGTTTGACTTGATGTTGGCAATGGGTTGGGAATGACGTTTGTGGGTTGAGGCCCACTAATTGGACCCTCATTACTTAACGGCGACGTACTCGCCAACATAGTATGGCCAATGTTTGCCATTGGAACTTTATTTGACATATAAACATCTTGAGGTAACCCCGCCATATTACTCGAAGTCGGTATTCTATTTTGCGATGAATTCACCATATTTTCTACCAGCCTCGATTTATTAGGGCCTAGAAGACTGGACACACTGTGGGTCATGTTTGCCTGTCTATCATTTTGTGTTTCTGACACGTCTATTTTGTTTGGCGACTTCTTTTTCCTCGAAGAGATTTTCTCCTCAGGACCGGGGGAGTATGATTGAGTGATATCGTCCAAATTCTTTCTGAAATCTGGTATGCCGTCTTTGCTAAATGCACTCGTTGTCCTTTCCAGTTGACTCAAACTGGATTCATTTTGGTGCCGAACGCCTGGACGTTGGTGCCTATAGTTTTTAAGCAAATTAATCTTACTAGACGTTCGACTAACGAGATTCATTGGCGCATCGTCTTGCAATTTCGTTTGTAGATTCACGGGCTCTAGAATACTCTCATTTTCAGTAGGCTTAACTTCTAGCACATCTTCGGGGGGTAATTTTTCGTCTGTGGTTAATACTAAGGGTTCGGAGATGTCGTTTTTAAAATTTTCCTTCTCCGATATTTTATTACTATCGTCTGGCACTTTCATCGTACTTTCTGCTGTCCTATCATTTGTGTGATTGTTGTCTTGAATAGTCCTAGATTGTATGAATTTTCTATTTGAATCATCTTCATCATCACTGTCTAAAACTTGAGGTTCATCATTAATATTAGTTGAAACACGTGAATTAACATCACTAGGTCTTTTAACGTCTTTAGGTATCTTCGTAATACTGAGCGAGCCAGGTAAATTGGGCCTTAGCATTCTTGGTGAAATTGGCAACTTAGTTCGCGTGGCTGAATATGAACGTATATCTCCCAACCGATTTCTTATATCGGCAATTTTTTGTCCCGGCAACACCGGCCTTGTGATTTTGTTCATGGGAGGTCTTATAACTCTATGGTAGCCCGGCCTTTGACCGGTTTTTGATGTTATTGTGATTGCAGAGTTATTTTTTAACGATCCAGGTATGTTGACTGGAGCCGGTCGGTTACCTAAAACTTATGGACATAAATAGTGTAAGTATAATTATATTAATATAAAACATATTATAATATTTTAAAATATAATTTTATATTTTATAATTATAATATATTAATATAAAATAATGTATAATTTTATATCATAAACTCGATTATTATTTGCTAGTAATAATATTAACAGCATTTGATAAACATAATACAGACAATAAAATTGTTTCTTAGAAGTTTCACGAATGATTTTTTAAATTTAATTTGGAAGAAAAATGAAAATCCCTTCAAAACCAATATTTAGTAGGTTATATTGTGCATTATTCATCACTTAGCCACAAATCTCCTCTACATAATACAAAAACAAAATTTCTTAACTTCGCTATCTTTACTTACTTTTCTTACCAACTTGGTTATCTTTAGTATCGCCTCCCTTTTGACCCAAACCCTTTAGAGACGTCTTGATTGCGATTATCTTGCCAGATTCCAGTTGCATATAGATTCCTTTAGGTGATTTCAACACCATAACGCGTTGACCCGCCTTGAGCACAATATTAGTTTTCTCGGCTGAGTTTGTCGGTATTACCACATCTAAAAATGTATAAATTATATTATTATAACTAGTAATTTTTTAAATCTTCTGTAAATACAACTTTCTAATTAAAAAAAAATAAAAGTATATCCTTCAGTGCTGACCATTTGACACTTACATTACTATGTATAAATCAGAAATTAATTATTAATTCTTCTTTCCAATCTTTTGTTTTTTTTTCGCGAATTTATTTCAATTATTGTTTCCCGACGTCTCGAATAATTCACAAATCAAAACAAATCCACTATAAAATCCAAAAAGACAGTTTTCAACACTTCAACACTACTATTATAAAGACGAAATATTTGTATTTTTGTATGTTCGTAACGAACACACTCAAAAACTACTGGACCGATTTAAATGAAATTCGGTAAGAACATAGTTTGCGACCCTGGGAAGGACATAGGATACTTTTTATCCCGGAAATCATCCTTTAAGGGAGTGAAAACGGGGATAAAATTCGTATCGGGCGTCGACCTAGGGACGATCCCGAGCGTAGTGTAGTGAGCATAGCTACCGAGGGGCAGGGTCATCTCCTGCGCGGTCATGCCCTGGCGGCGCCACACGTCGGCGGGGATCCAGCGCGCGGCGGGCGGCAGCGGGCGCACGGACGCCACGGGCCGCGTCACCAGGCTGCCGTCGGCCGCGCGCACCGTGCGGTACGCCGCGGGCTTCGGCGCCGCCGCCGCCTTCTTCTCCAGCTCGTACCTGGCGGCGATACACCACGCACACACATACATACACACACGAACGATTTCTTTTGGAGCGAAGTCCCTTATGGGACGATGCGGAGTAAAAACGTCCGTAACGAAAATGCGTAGAGTGAAATTTTTATGTATAGTTGATGTGTGTTCGCTGTATAGTATCTAATGTATAGACTACGTGATGTCTTCGAAAATTTCTTAAAAAAATAACTCTGTAGCTCATTTAGACCGAATCGGGATTAGAAGCTTGGTCCTCCAGATCTGCACTCGTAAATTCTAGTCACTAGACGAACGAGGAAATTAAAGGGAGTTATGAAATATATAGTAATAATTATAACATGACACTCACCCTCTTTGCGCAAGTCGTTTCTCAGCACTAGATAATTTCTTCTCTTTTCTATCAACTAATAGTGACTCATGTTGAAAAGGTTCTTTACTCAAAGACTTCCCGTGCAAAGTAATAATACCCTGCATTAGCACATCTATGTATTTATCTTTGTGCTCTGATAAATCCTTGATTTCAGACTCCTGGAAAATAAGAAAAAATGAGTGCGTGTAACCTTAAGGTGCGTGCAGTTAAAGTAAAACGTCTTCGGCGATGCGGCAAATACCGCAATTAAATTCAAAAAATTAAAATAAAACAAATCAAAATATAAATATAATATTTATTATAAAATTATTAGTAATAAATATTATTTTTTATATATAATAATTATTATAAAATATAAACTAATATTATTTTTAAATTATTAATAATAAATTTGACTTGACTAATTTTTCCAATATATTAACTTACCCCTCAGTCACGCCTAAAGAAGTTTTACTTCAGAAACACTTTTAAAACACACATTTTATATTGGAAAATTGCATATAAATATTTGTAGCAACTGAAATGACACAGTCTAAAAATAGTAAGAATTATAAATACCTTTTCATCATTGTCAAAACATAAGTTAGTAATTTCCTTCATAGATAGAACAGCGTCCGGATTACACTCGTCTACGACTCGGTCAGCCATCCCTTGTTTATTTATTTGTCTATCATAGATCTTCTTCTCAAGACAACAATCCATAACGAAACGGTACACAAAACAGGGCTTCTTTTGACCATATCTATATTTAAAAAAATATATATTAATTGATGTTTGTTTACAATAATACACTAAAAAGTTTTAAAATAAAAATATCTATTCGAAAATTTTTCGCGAAGAGACTGACACTCTCCCGTGATTGCTATAAAGCATTCGAACCGTCGGAAACCAAAAGTCAAAATAAATACAAAAATCAAAAAAAGTAGTTTTATTTTAAATTGTAAAATATTCGCGCAACCTAAAAAAGTATTATACTAAGTTTTGTCATTGAATTTATCAAAAAAAAAATTGAATTTTGAAAAATTTGGAAAGAAAAATTCATCACAGGTGGACTTGTTCATCAAAAGATACCACCACACAATATTAGTACATACATGCGAGTATATATTATACCTATACTTAAAATCTGAACTTAATCGAATGGAGACTATCTTGGTCAATTGGTCAGTTTTTATTCTATTTTAGGATATTGTCAAAAATCCAAAAAGTAGACACGAGACCCAGACGGACTAAAGCCTTGGTATTAGTGATCCGTCTAGAGTGTAGACCCTTTGGGAATGGGACACTAATAATGTAATTATTATTTCAAGACACAAACATTGACATAAATCTAAAAACACTCATCTGATCTATTCAGATAAACTAACAAACAAATAACCATACCTCCAATATTTTTAGTACACATCAAAATGTACACATTTGTTATAACCCAATTAGGTACCAAACAGTCTATGTGTTATACTATTGTTAGTCTATCTGTTTACTGTGTATAATCCAAATCCATCCAGCCGCTTAAGCATAACAAACACACACACACACACACAAATTGTCTCATTTCTAACAGTAATAATAATAAGTCCTGACCAATTCCGGCCACGGCGGCCAATCCCATTGAGTCTAGCCAACTGCGCAGGAGATATTTATTAAGACACAAGTGTACTCTCTATTCCTGCAACACTCATACTCCGGTTGGACGACTACTCGACACGACCAGTGTGAGGGAAGGCGCAGGACCGACGGCTTTACGTGCTCTCCGAGGCACGGGGGTGAAACACCGCCAACTTCCTAACTTCAGGCTGATACTTAGTCTTACTAAACAGAAAGATTCAATAACTAAATTTGGCCCGATCCGGGACCTGAACCCAGAACCTCAGGATGTGCAGCCGTACAAGCTAGCTTTAGATTATGTACCTGTAAACCCTACAAACGGCCTGCGTGTCGTGGCAGGGGTTCCAGCTGGCGTCGAACACGATGACGCGGTTGGCGCCCACCAGGTTGATGCCGAGCGAGCCGGCGCGCGTCGACACCAGGAACAGGTACACTTGGGGGTTCGCGTTGAACTCGTTTATTAACTTCTCTCGCTCTAGCGCGTGGGTCGACCCGTCGAGACCTTTAGACAGACACACGATTTAGAATTTGTATTCGGCCATTTAACATCTCACTGCTGGGCGAACCAGTGACCAAAAAAATCTCAAAATTTACCAGGAAGTCTCTTTAGAGAGGTATTAAAAAATACCTTATATTAGCTTATATATATTTAGCGTGAAATGCCCCGTATAATTTAGTTTTACGTTATAGTACCTGATGGGCAAAGAAATTCTTTCTTCGGCGTTCATGATATATAAATATATAGACAGTGGTTACAGATTTGATTTTTAATTGTTTTAAGTTGTATAGTTGGATATTTAATTAAAATTATTAATACAAAACTTTCAGATATTTCGATTCCTATTAAAAATGACGCTTAAAATATTAAATATAGCTTTTTAATGATCACCAAAAATGAAAAAGAATATACATAATAATTATATCGTTATATAGAAAAGTGTATAATAAAAAAGTTTATTTGAAATTCAAACAAAGGACATAAGACTGTTGACGTTTGTTCAACATATATATGTAATATTTTTTATTTATCAAAAAAAAGTTTGGATATGGGGCACTTGTAAGTTATGTAGAAAATTAATGTATAGAAAATGGATTACTTACGATAGTATGACGTATTCCTCTCCCAAAGACGATTCGTGCCTGGAATATAATTTCTCTCCAGAAAATTTTCAATAAGATTAAGTGTAAACAAGCTCTGACTGAACAGCAATAGTCTATCTCCTAGTTTTATACTCTCGTTTAAAATGTAGAAGAAAAGTTCCATTTTCGCAGAGTTTTCTATTATACCAGGAATATAATCTTTTAATAATTCCGTTGCCCAATCGTAAGTTACTTCTTCTGCTTTCTTCGTTAACGCTATTTCTTCTTCTTTATTTAATTTTTCTTCTTTTTCACTTTCTTCAGATTCTGACTCGTCGTTGTTCTTTTCTTTTGATGTTTTCCGATCCTTACGGCCTTTAGGTTTAGCCGCTCTACCTCTAGGTTTTGGCTTTTCTGCCTTTTTATCGTCTTTGCTTTTTCCTCTCTGTTTGCCTTTTTTCGTAGTTTCTACATCTGGCTCTAAAGTATGATTCTTTGCCTCCGTTCTTGGTATATCATTTTTTACGTATTCCGGTGGCATATGTTTGGGCACCATTGGTGGCACATGAAATTCCTTTTTAACTTCATCTTTAACGATTTTTTTCGTATCCAAATCCTCAATTTTAACTTCTCCATCTGATTCAGATTTCATCTCCATTTTATCTTCAGCTTTAAGTTTATCAATTTCTGTTTTGAGAGTTTCCGTTAAGGGCCACGAGGTGACGGGACTTCCGGAACTAGAACTGCATAGAGGCGGTTTAGTTTCAAGGGCGGGAGGGAAATTGGGATATGGAAAATTACCATTCGGATTATTTGTTTCCGAATATGGCAGATTTTGTTGAAAGTTGTAGGAATGATTATAGTTAACTGATTGGTTTTGAGATTCATTTGGTTCAGACTTCACTTCATTACGATAATTAGAGTCAATGGGACATTCAGTTTTAATGGGAGGTTGGTTAACATTCGCTTGAGGTGGATTTGGAATACTTCCTGGAGTGTTCGGGAAATTCTGATAATTTGGAGGTTGATTATTATACTGATTGTAAGAACTGGGAGCATTAGCATCATATGCATTGTTGCCAGAATAAGTCTGCGGATAAGTTTGGTTGGGAAATTCTTGTGGTTGCTGGTTACTTGGATACGATGAACTGGGGGGTGTGTTTTGAGTATTATATTGGGAATAACCCGGCTCGTTTGGAAATGGTCCTTGGTACGGTCTAGTTTGATTTCCATAACCTTCTTGATTATTTGGATAAGGTGGCATTGAATTCGGAGGATATGAATTATTGGAAGGTGTATAGTTCGCCGGGTACTGTTGAGGATTGTTATATCCAGGTGGGGGATTTCCGTTGAATTCTTGTGAGGGTTGATTAGGTCCATATTGCTGGTTGCCATAGTAACCCTGGTTACCGTAATAATTACTATTACCCCAGTAATTCTGATTGTACCCTTGTTCTGAATTATTTGGTGGGTATTGGTTTGGGTAATTACCAGTAAATGGAGTCTGTTGTGGATAGTAATTGTTGCCATACTCTTGATTATATTCCTGATTTGGTGGAAAATATCCTGTGTTGGAATTCTGATATGGATATTGAGGGTAGCTTGATCCATCACTAGGAGGTCTATTGGGTGGTTGATTGGGGTAATTGTTTTGAGAATATGGTGGCCCATTTGAAGGAAATTGTGAATCTCCAAATGTGTTTGATTCTTGACGTTGTACTGGGGCTGTTGTGTTGGGGGGTATGGTTGCAGCGGGTTTCTTCGACGATCCCTGTAATATATTTGCATTGCCTATTACATTGCAATTACATAGGTGGAGGTATGTAAACAAGTATGAATTAGATTACACTAAAAACTATTCTTATAAGTTAATATTTGAGAAGTTAAGCTAAGTTTATAAAAAAAAAATATTTCACTCAAACAGTCAATCTTAATATAAATAATATTTATTTTTTTAATTTTACAAGTGATCATTTAAAAACAGAAACCAGAAATGTTCTTGCTTCTAGTATTAATCATCATTAATCATTTGACGATTACTTCTAACTAAAAAAAGGTAATGTTAAAATCAAACGCTCAATATATGTAGAAACAAAGACACATCCCCTCGAATTAAATAAACTTTCAAAGTCGGCCAATAGGGTAACAAACATTTAACAAAAGCAAAAGTTTATTAATTAACTAACCCGAGGTTTCGCAGCTCGTCTCGTCGTCTTATTATTTTTAGCTCTACCAGCTTTAGTCACTCCACCAATCTCCTCCAAGTCTAAATCTTCTTCTATGGCCGCATTCACTTCACTGCGCTTCTTTAAGAAATTATATAGAACATCCGGATGGTTCCAAATCTGACAAACAACATTAATCTTTAAATTTTAAAATCTCAATTTATAAAATTATTGCGATTTCAAATACATCCATAGCACATACTAAAAATTTGAATTATTAATATAAATTCTACTACTAATATTATAAATATGAAAAATTTACTAATATTATAAATATGATAGTTTGTGAGGATGGACGGCTGGATGTTTGTTACTCTTTCACGCCAGAACGGCTGAATGGGATGGAGGATAAAATTTGACATAGAGATAGGTATAGCACCTGATAACTTTATATCGCGAAAAAATGTACGGTTCCCGTGGGATAGATTTGTCTAGGGACGAACATATCTTTTATATTTTTTAATAAAATTATTAAAGAAGACAACAGTTTATTTTATTTTATAACAAAGAATAAGGTAAGTTTTTTTTTTAATTTTTATTAACAATAATTTAAAAGAAATCTTACCTTACAACATATAGCGAAAGCTTTCAACGGATTTGGAACAGAAGCAGATCTCACTACTTCATTCATAAATCTATCATACAGTTTACGTTGTAATGGCGTCATACGAACTAGTAATACGTATTCTTCTTTTTGTGGTAATGTTGATTGTAATACGGCATGGGATCGCCTGGTGGAAAAATAAAGTTAACAAATATTAAGTTTTAGTATTAAGTTAAAATCCTTTACACCCATCCAGAGATACTCACACATTTATGGACTTAAATGTTTTATTGAGTGACATTCCTATTTTTTTTTTCTTATTGTAATTTAAAGCGGAATTAAAAGTAAAAAACAATACCGATTTAAAAAAAACGTGTGTGTGTACTTATGTACGCACGTAAGAAGTTATACTTCTTTGGCGTAACGGAACAAAAAAGCTAAAGATTTCATCCCGTATGTCACAACTCTCTGTTTGTAAAAGGAATGCAGCTAACTTCATCATGTCACTTTTTGGCTGTCGGTGTGCGCGCGCATCGTAAAAATTTTACTCTCATAATTTTTACCAAACGTGCCAAAAGAAGTATAACTTCAAAAAGCTGAAATTACCTTTGAACAAAGCCCACGAGCAGTGAGTGCAGTACATGAGCCCTATACCTCATGAGCCTTATATCTTGAGGTGTTGAATCTATGCACTGTCCATTCTGTATGGGCCTCTCAAACATGTTGCAGAACTCCGTTTTGCTACCCAAGTAATTTGGCCGAACAAAATCCACCATACACCAATATTCCAACAAGTTATTCTGAAGAGGGTAACCTGAAATTAAGGAATAGTGTATTTAATAATAATTAATAACCATATTTCTTAAAGCAAATCATATTTTAAACATACATGTAGTAAAAAAATACTGTGCCATTTTCAAATCAAACTTAATTTATTAAACCAAAATAAAAGCACATATTATAATAGTGATCAATATGTTTATATTAATAACATGTATATAATTTTATATTGTTTTAAATAAAACCTTCTTTTCGGATTTTTTCGCGGATTTATTTAGATTTTTGGTTCCCGACGTTTCGAATGGTTTACAGCAACCATGGTCACGGGAGGTCTCTCCCAAACAAAAACCGCGAATAATTCTAAAAAATTGAAAAATAATTATTAGAATAGTATTATTTATTATATTTTAATTTAATAACTTACCCGTGAGAACAACTCGACGTTTTGTTCTCATTTGTTTTAAAGCATACGATATGTTTGAATGGGAATTCTTGATGCGGTGCCCTTCGTCGCAAATCACCAGGTCTGGTCCCGGACGCACCAATGCTTCATACATTTCTTAAAGAAAAGAAAATATAAATTGTAATAACTTCTTTGTAATTTTAATAATGACTTCTAATCTAAAAACTTAGACCAGTACTAAATCACTGCAAAAAATTATCCCACTTATGGGTTCTTTTTCAATTTACATCACCATGTTTGAAGAAGTTGATGAAAAAATTGTTACTATTTTAATATACAGCTTTAGGTAACTTTTTGTAGCAAACATACAGGAATCAATGACGCGTTATAATATATATGTAGTATCATGTTAATCCAACAACTGTTTGTCAAATTTTGTCCAAATTCCTTCAATATTTGAAGATGAATTTATACATCAACTAATGTATTTAAAAGTTATATATGTGTAGGGTATCAACTATCTGGTATCCATAACACAAGCCTCCTTATAGAGTGCTTACCGTGCTACTAGATGGTGCTGTGTGTTAATGTCCCAACATATTTATATTTATTTATTCATATTAGTACGAAAAATGACGAAATTTAAATTACCATCTAAAAGCTTTTTGTCTTCATCATTTGGTGTATCCTCCTTTTTCTCATCTTTCGCTTCAATATCTTTTCCTAATGAGTCAACATCATCTTTTTCGCGCTCTTCAGGCTTTCCATCTATGCCCTAAAAATATATTCAATAACACACTATAGAAAAAGTATCATCATTAAAAATAATGAACGTTCGGCATATATATTCAAATTTATATATACAATATATACATCTATATTAGTATTATAAAGAGGTAAAGTTTGTGAGTTTGTGACGTTGTAGGGGGTAATCTCTGGATGTACTGAACCGATTTAGATGAAATTTGGTAAGAAGATAGTTTGAGACCCTGGGAAGGACAAAGGATACTTTTTATCCTAGAAATCATCCCTTAAGAGGATGAAAATGAGCATGAAAAAATTGTATGGGTATTGTTTATTATCCATATATTATTATTATTATCCATTTATTGAGGAAGAGTATATATAGGCTATATCATCATGCTACTATCTAAGGGAGCAGAGCAGTAATATAATATATATAACATACTAACTGTTAATATAATATAGAAAAAAAATTAAAAAAATATTTAAAATAGCACTACCTGTGGTGGGTCATCATTTCCATCGTTTTTTTTATCCTCTTTCTCTTTATCCTCATTCTTATCAGCTTTCTTTTTCTTTCGAGGTTTTTTATCCTTTTTCATACTTAACAGTCTATATAATTCATATCCTATCATTAGAACACCACCTGTTGTTTTCCAATCCTGCAAATATAGGAGAAATCAAGACATTCAAATATAACAAATTAAAAAGAACACAGTTTTTAATCATATTATTTTAGTACATCGTTGCATTACATACATATTATATAATAATAAACCAACCATTTAATAAATATGAGTTACCTTAACAACTTTTGCACGCATTTGTAGTGTCTTGTGACTATCATTTAAAACATAAATAGGAAAATTCCGCGGTCGAACTTCACCGTGCGCCGATAAGGGACTTTTGCTAGCATCTAAAGGCAGCCATATATTAAATTCTGCCACCTAAAATAAAGTTAAAAATAATTAATAATTTTTTAACCATTTATTCTCCCTCAAATAAATAATTGAAGCTGTTAAAAAATATTTATTCTTTTATAAATTTATTTACCCAATTTTGAAGAGTGTTAATGGGCATAATGCACAAAACTGTCTTGGAATTCGTGTGTCGAAGAAATATATCACAGAAGCAAACTATTTGTAAGGTCTTCCCTAAACCCATAGAATGTGCTAATATACAGCCAAAGCCAGTAGATGTGGAAAACCTCTGCACAGATTCTATAATATTGTCAAAAAGGAATCTGACTCCACCAATCTGAAATAAAAACGAATTAAATTAAAACTTCCTCCTCAGAAAATCTACAATTGAAAGTTAAGATTTCACAGATTATGTGAAGTCATTCAAACATGACCTTAAGATGTTTAAAAATGATAGCTTATGCACTAAGAATAAATACTTTTGCTACTATAATACTCTAAATTAAACCTCACATTAATAAAAAAAATCATACCTGATGTGGTTTAATAATTCGAGCAATTTGAGGAGCTAAAAATATGTCTTCTTCATTTTCTGCATGGCCTATATTAATTAGGACACGCCCTTGTTCATCAGGAATGTTATACGCGTCATTTACATGAAGACCTGAAAAAATTTGGAATTTCATTATAGTGATATATCTTTATGTTAAGTAACTAGCGTTTTACCCTCGCTTTGCATCCCTAGGTACATTTAAATTTTTTTAACCAGAACCCTAATTCTTTTTCTGAATAAAAATAGACAGACAAAAATTTCAAAAATTGTGTTTTTCTTATAAATACCATATATAATTTAGAAAAAGAAATAGGACTCTGCTTAAAAATTTAAAACATACCTCCTTAGGAGCTAACCTTTGGCTGAGAATGGGGATGAAAGTTTGAATAGGGAAGCAAGCTAGGGACGAACCCGAGCAAAATGAGGGTGAGTCGCTAGTATACAAATAAAAAGCTAACCTCTTTAATCACAATGGTTATTTAACACGACAACTAAGTTAACACGTCTTATAACATCTATAATACCCAAGACCTCAGTAACAATACAAATTGCTATGTACAATGTGTATCAATAACATAGTGATCTAACTTTATTTCTATGGTTTAATATTTTACCAGAATTACTGGGATCTTCATCAGCCTCTGGACTAGGTGGTACTTCAGAGTCTGACAACATTATGCAGTCATCTGAATCTGAAGATGAAGATGATGAGTCTTCACCGCTACTGCTATCTACTATTTCTACCACCTACAAATATCAATTAACATAATATAATTTTCAATTTTAGGTAAGCCAAATAAATAAAGTTGGTACCCAAATAGTTAATCATACCTCCTTTTTTTCAGACTTTTGATCTGGTCTAGTTAATTTCTGTGCTAAAGCTGATGTTGTAGGCTTTGATACCTTTGTTACTTCGACTTGTCCCTGTTTCACTGAAGTCTTTTTAACTTCACCAGAAGGTAATTTTACTAATACTGTGTTAGGTAAACTGTAAACATAAGGTAATTTAAAATGAGTTTAATGTAAATCTCCATTTTATAATATATACATACATAATAATATTATTAAGATTACATACTTTAATTTTTGGCCAGAACCTCCCTTTTTTAATATCGAAGATCCACCTTGTAGAAGAGATAAAGTTTTTTGATGTATTTTATTTTGTCTATTTATTGCTATTTGTCTTTGAACCTGTAAAACAAATATTTTATTTTTAGTAAACAATGGTTCTATATATTAGTAAACTATTTTAATAGAACATCTTAGTTTGTGACATCGTAGAACATTAGTACTATAAAACATTCAGGTAAACTAAGGTATTTCAAAATATGTGGAATAATACTTAAACTTAGATTGTATATGTTTTCAAAGAACAATTTTCTTGTTGATGCATACAAACATATTAAATAAAGTACCTTGACATATAAACATTCAATAAATATATCCAAGATTTTATTCTAGAAATAGTATTAATATTATTATTTATTATGTATGAAATGCTACCTCTCTTATTATTCTCTGTTGCTCTTGAACTCTAGCCAATCTCTCCGATTCTTGCCTCTGAGCAGCCAATGTCGAAGCATCTAAATTTTTCTCATCCATAACTTCCCTTATATTTCGCCGCATGTTCAATGTGTTTGGATTTAATGCCTTTTTCTGTAGAATACAGTAAGCATAATAACAAAAACAGTATAACAGTACTTAATAAATATTTACTACACATTTAAATTAAACCAACAATAACTTAATTCTGATTATGTTAAAAAGAAATTATATTTAAAAAAATATCACTAATCGAAATACAACTCCGTCTAAACAATCTAAAAATACTTAGTTTTTAAGTGATTTTTTATACATCATCTTGACTAGCTGTTGCCACTTTTATAAGTCAATTAGGTACTACATATAATCAACACCAAAACGTAAAAAAGTCTAGTAATTTAATCATTACCTCATCATCAGTTTCAGATGTTTTTTCTTCAGCTTGTTCACTATCCTCATCACTTTTAGATTGTTTAACATCAATTTCATCCATCTCTTTCAAATTTTCACCACTGAATTCTTGGTTTTCCTGTTTTGTCATGTTCAACAAATCGTCTGCAATTTTACCAGGACACAGTTCACTCTCTTCTACTTCAGCTATCTCAACATTTTTTGATAAATCCAAATCCCCCTCATTTATAATATCATTTATTGTCAGTGTTTTGGGTTCTTCAAAATTGTCCTCCACCAAGGATTCATTGTTAATGGATGGCATTTCCTGCATCTGTGCTTGCTTTGTTTTCTTTGCTTCTATAAAATCACCTGTTTCTGGATCAATATAGCTTTCGTTTTCTTCATTTAAGTCTTGCACAGCACTTGGATCAACAACAAACTCTTCCTCTGATAAACCATCACTGTCACTTTTACTATCTTCACTAGAAAAATCACTTAGATCTAATACATTTTGACCAATTAAACTTCGAATAGTAATACCAGTATCTTTTTTTAATTTCTTTGTAAAATCGTGAAAAGTTTTAACTGCTTCCATTTTTCGTTTATGGCTCATCCTTGGTGGTCGTGCAGCCGCTCTTCTTCGAGGGTTCATAGCAGCGGCTTGCGCAAAATGTGCCCGTTGTATCCTGGCAATTGTTTCGTCTTCCTCATCTGAATCCCAAACCTCTTCTTCTGATTCATCATCCTCTTCCATTTTTCCTTTAAATTTTCCTCTAACAGACATCGTCCCGCCAGCATCACCCATGTCAAAATAAAGTCTTCAACTTGTGATTAACTGGGATACATAATATTCACAACACATCACATACAGACATTTAAAATTGCCATTTTTATAAAGCTATAATAATTTAGTGTTCATTTATGTTTCTTTAATATTGGTAGAGTTGTACAGGTTTATTTATAAATTCTTCATTTTTAACATTATTTCTTAGTAAAATTTTAGACGCGGTATTAATAGGGTGAGAAAGAAGCCGGATGACATAAATCTTTACGGGAAACACATCTATTCTCATTAAAAATTTACCTTTTAAGCTTCTTTTCGGAAAATTTTTGATTTATAGCTTAAAATCTGCAATTAAATTTTAGGAAGCCATTACTTCCGCAATAAATAGCATTCGCCTATTATACTTATAATTTGTGTATTCGACAAGCGTGTTTACAAAAATTGTTAGACATTTTACAGAACAAATGTCTTGACAACCTTAATAAAATTGAGCAACAAGGAATATAATTGCTTGTCAATATATATTAATATAAAAGCAGCGGGTAGTATTTCCGTTTGTAGTAACAATCAAAACAGATCCTTCTTGCACAGCATCCATAGAAGAAAAAATGCCGAAGCAAAGCGTTTAAGATAATGGCAACATTATTAATCTCATTCTAGGGTTGTCATTATTGTTTCTGATCTTCGCTACAGCCCTATTATAATTTTAGCGCAGATTAAAAAAATGAAATAAAAAATAAAACAAAATTAGGCATAACAAAAGAGTTCACATTGAGATATCATATTAATTTTAATAAAATTCTGAGTCGAATCTGTACATTAAATATCTTTTTGGAAAATCTTAATGAAATATACATTATTATCGATACAGAGGTCGAATATATAGTTTTTAGAATTTTTGTCTGTCTGTCTGTTTGTATATCTGAGAACGCAACACAAGAAAACCACTGGACAAATTTTGATGAAATTTGGATGATAGCTGAATTTGAGAAGACCCCTTTCGAAAATATTATGTCTTATACACACAATAAAGTCATTTGCCCGATTTGAGAACCTTTTTTGTCATTTTATTATTTTATATTTTTTATTTTGTGTAACTTATCTATAATTGGGATTATCTAATTCCCACGGTTTCCCGTGTTTTCACACGTTATAATACAATCTAAAAAATATGATTAGAATTTAGAATAGCTTGAAACTTGGTAATTTAATGCTCTTCAATAAAATTAAATAAATACGTGTTTTAGCATTTTTCGAAATTCATCTAAGGGGGTTAAATAGGGGATGAAAGTTTGTATGAACTACCTTCTTAGAGATTTTTTGCAGTTTAAGCGCGAGCGAAGCTGCGGGTTCTGCTAGTATATCTACAAATTGATATACGATTGCAAAATTAGTTTTGCAGTTCATATAATTTTTCGTCACTTAAACTACCCAAATGGATAAGTAGGTAAACAGTGGATAGTAGGTATAGTAAGTCATAGAAGATGTGTTCTTTATTAATATACCTATAGGCTATACAATACTTATGCGAAGCGTGGCGAAAGCAAGCGATGAGAATTAGATCTTGGCGATCTTATTGGAGGCTAAATTAAGTTCCCCTATGCATGCGTACCTTGTCGTAGTGGGGGGAGGGGGGATTGGTGTCTGGCAATCCAGCCGGGCGCGAAGCCAAGAAAAGAACTGAGCGGAACATCTTGGTAGGCGGTGCCTTGCAGGTTGCTCCTGGTACTACTTCGAGGCGTCGTGGTTGAATGCGTGCGCTCCTGCGACGCCCTATTAGGTCGGGGGGAGGTTAGGTTGGGTTTTAGGGGGTAGTACCTGCTTTGCCAGTGAGTCCTGATTGATGATAACTACCTGTATGCATGCAGGTGGTATTTATAAATGTATTACCCAAAGTTAAAAAAAATATCGGACGAAAATATGAGAATAATCTATTATTTTAAAAAATCCTAATTGATCATACCGCTAGCGGCTCAAAATCTATACATACAATAAAATTGTAACTAAGCCAAATCTGTACATTAGATATTTTTTTGGAAAATCTTATTGAAATAAACATTATTATCGATACAGATGCCGAATCTATAGGTTTTGTCTCTCTGTCTGTTACCACATCACAGAAAAACCACTGGAGGGATTTTGATGAAATTTGGTATGGTGATAGTTGGTTATCTGGGTCAACATATAGGACACTTTTTACCGCAGGAAAATATCTCATTTTTGAGAAAAAATACAAAAATTGCAATGTAAGAGTATAGTGTATACTAATATGTAAAACCTAAGAATTTGGTTTTTGGTCATCTGAACGCGGGCGGAGCCGCGGGCAATGCTAGTTATGCATATGTCTCTTTCAAATGTTGATGGTTCCATAATATATAGGTACTAAATAAATTAATCGACTTGCTTTTACATAAAATCTCAAAACTTTTTGAGATAGAAGAACTGTGTTGGGAGACGCATTTTTCTTAATTAATAACTTAATTTAAAACTGAAACGGGAAAACAGAAATAGTTTTTTTGTTTATTAATTTATTAGCAGATCAATTTATTTACTTACTTTAATGGTTAATAAAATAATAGGTGAATATATTTTAAATTGCTTTTAAAAGCATGTTAAAAATATGTGCTACAAATAAAGTTTAGGTATAATAAAATTTCTATGATATTTTATTAATTTTTGTATTTACAATATATTCCTGATTCTACTAAAACATTGATATTTATGCAACTTTAATAAGTCGATTTTCCCTCAGTCGTAGACGGCGTTCACGTTCAAATTCCTTCATACGAACCACATAACTGAAATTATAAAATATCTTTTATTTATAAGTTTCCAGATTTACCAATTATTTGTAATGCTTAAATTAATAATATAATTAATTTAAAAAATATAGTTGAACACCATTTGGGCGAACATTAAAAGCACTATCTAAATTAACTTTATATATTTAAGATGATTCATCATATACCGCAAAAATGAACTTACTCTTGGTGTTCACAATTTAAATAATCATGTTTTTCATGAGCACATTTGTACAAAAGTGGCATGTTCTTGTAACGGCAGACTTGATATTCAAGTAAATAGTGCGAACAATAATCTCTATATTTGGGTGGAATCCTTGCGGATACCAAGTCCTCTTCTTTAGCTAACATTTCTGTAAATAATATTATTAACTGTCTATTATGTAACCTCTACTTTACGACTAAATACACTTGGTCACAATGGATTAAATTTTAATAATAGTCTTAATGAATTAAGGATGTTCTGTTTATATTCCCTTTTTGTATATTTTTTTTAATTTTCATTTATTACCTCGTTCTTTGCGATCGTAAGAAAAACCATCCTGTGGATTAAATGTTGGCTTGTCGTCCATATGAAGATCTACATTTCGAGCATTGTAAGATCCCATAATCTGCCCCATCCTGACGGCTTTAAATATATCAGGTTACTTCTTAAATAAAGCCGTCAGTTTCATAAAGAAAACTTAAGAAATACAAACACTACTGCCTTAGCTAGCTGAAAATTGAAATAGTATTTAATAGAATTTTGACACTTGACTTGATAATTGATATTGACAGATTGACGTTTGCAAATAGTGTTACTATTTCTATTTTCTAGATATATAATCTATGATATTTCGAAGATTTCTTGAAAGGAGGACGCTACACGTATGATCTATTTACATTCAGTCTGAGGTTAAGCAATTTATTATGATATCTCTTTTGTACCAACCTTTATTTTTTCATTTTTTTCGACTTCCCCCGGGGTGGTTATGTGGAGACTCTCCGGCTAATGAGACCGGCATACCCACTTAAACCCAACTTCCCACCCCTGTCGTCATGTGGGCTTTTGTACCAACCTGTGCAATGTATTGAACGTGGAAGTTAGACCAGCTGAAGGAAGAATTGAGAAGGAGAGGTGCATCCTGTGGTGGGCCTGATTGACTGATGGATCAATGCGCAGCCTAAGTCGCTGGTCGTAGAAATGTCAAATAGGACATAGGATGTAGGCATTCGATAACACAGGATTTTTTGAAATTCATCCCCTAAGTGGGTAAATTAGACTCTGTCATTCTTAATGTCAAATACACAGAGAGTGCTGCACTTTGTGCTTTAGTTTTAAGGTAAAAATAGTAAATTGTGCCCAACTGGCACTCCTAGAAGCCACATAATAAAAGAAATGAATTGAAGGTAAAAAAAAAATACGTGTTTTAGCATTTTTCGAAATTCAATCTCATAAGGGGGTAAAATAGAGGATGAAAGTTTGTATGAAGCTCTGTAATTAATATAGAAACAAGTACAAAAAATAAAAAAATATTCACGTGTAGACGATTTAAGAGTTTTAAAATCACTTTCTGTAAAATGATGTCCACATAGCCTTAAATATAAAGATTGTGATTTCAACAATTTTGGTCATCTTATTGCTTTAGCCCACAATTTTTTCAGTTTTTGTCTTTTGGGAACAAATGATATCAATTTTCTTTACAACCTGGTACTGGACAATGTGTCATTTTTATGAAATTTTAAATAAATAAATTCCATCCACGCTTTAGAGCTTTACGATATACTGAAGATTATAGTGATCGCGACATCTGGCGGAAGAAAAAGGCACAATTCTTCCGTATTATATTTATATCAATGAATTTATAATATATTTTTATTATAACACAGAAATAACAAATCAAGGCATCACGTTAGTTAATCGTTATTGCAATTAGAATGAACCTACTATATTATTACGATGAAAGAAAATGCCAAAGAGCCTTTCTTATATAATTTTGTTGTGGTTATGTAGAACTAAAACTTAAAAAAGTACAAAAACATACTGATTGTTTCATTTAGATATCTTACAAAGGTAGGACGCCCAAAACTATTTATTGACTTTGGACACACATTTAAATTATTTAATTGGTAAAATATGTTCTAATTTCATGCACCTAATGCATAATTACAAAAAGATTCTTAGCTAAACTGATTTTTCTCATCATTTTGTTTCATTTTGAGGGTAGTATTAAATAAGATGATACAGGAATAATTTAGAAATTATCAAACGCAAGTATGCATTAATAATAAATAAAATGGAATTCAAAAAGAGATTTAAAAAATATAATTTAAAGGTTTTGAAGACCATAGGAAAAGGAACTTACGGGTATGTGTTATAAATAGTAAGAAATTTATTTGATAACAGAAAATCTTATCGTAATAAGTACTAACTGCTTTGAAGGCGAATATTATCAAATTTAATAATATATGACTTTATTATAGAAATGTCTATCTATGTGAACAGCAAAAACGGCAAATGCTAACGATAGTAAAAGATATTGAATTAAATATAAAAATTCAAGATCATAAACAGGTAAATTAAATTAAATAGTTGTATGTAAACTTTATTTAAAACATGTTATTAAAGAATTAATTTATGAGATAATGGATAATTTAGTAAATTTCCGTCTAAATAATATCAGTCATTCTCGGATATTTTTAAATATGGAATTAATTCTAGGAGATAGCCAATGAAGTTAAAATACTTTCGAAAATGAATCATCCTAATATAATAAAATTTTACGATTGCTTTTACATTGAGAATCACGTAATGATTTGTATGGAATATGCCACTAGCGGGAACCTAGCGGAATACATGTACCAAAGATGTCCAAAATTAATAAGACAGCAGGTAACAAATATTGTTCTCCACATCATTAATAACATAATATGTCATTAATAACAATTATTATACTAATATGTTTACTGACTTATGCCCGCGGCTCCGTTTGCTTAATTTATTTGTTTAATTGCTCCACTGCAATTGGATTGAAGTGTGATGTTAATTAACCTAGTATAAAATTCCTCAATAAATAGGATAATAAATGCAAAGATTTTTTTTAAATTGGCTTTGTGTATTAGTAGGTACCTACTATATATAAATGAACATATAATGCAACGCTATAATTATTATATGATTCTTCACAGGAAATATTATTTTATTTTTGTCAAGTATTATTGGGCGTTCATTATATTCATAAATTAGATATTATCCATAGAGATTTAAAAGCAGAGAACATTTTATTGACTGGAAAAAACGGCGTTCTAGTAAAAATTGGCGACTTTGGTATTTCAAAAATGTTGGCGAGGTAATTTATTTAGTTTTATTAGTATTTAAATTTAAATGTTGCTTCTTTGGCTGACAGACGACGAAGGAATAATGTTACTGAGTACAAATACACGGTTTATAACCTTCTAACGACTCACCCTCGCTTTGCACGGGTTCGTCCCTAGCTTAATTCTCTATACAAACTTTCATCTCCAATTTCACCTCCTTAAGTGATGATTTCCGGCATAAAAATCCTATGTCCTTCCCAGGGTCTGAAACTATCTTCTTACCAAATTTCATCTAAATCGGTTCAGTGGATCCAGAGATTACCCCCTACAACGTAACAAACTCACAAACTTTATAATATTAATATAGAAAAGAATAGAGAATATAGACTACTAGACTTGACAACATAGATTAGTTTGCTTAGAAGGGGTATCAGTGATGGTTTTTATGGTGAAGATAATATTTTAGTAGCAACTTAAAATACGCACTACTTACATGACCTCAATCCTAAAGGTTCAGATTACTTTTATTTTAGATATTTTTGACATCATCAATTTGGCCGGTCAACTTTCATTTTTATATTATTACACCTACAACTACTTGGTATATCGGCCAATTGCCAAAATAGGCTGTGAGCAACCGTATCTACAAGTTTTGAAACTAGCTTCGATCTGTGATAAGTCAGTCAAGTCACTATTTAGCCTTAGATTATTTCTAAACTGAGATAATCTTAGGTTGGTGGACAAAAAAATAATAACTTTAGGTTTTATCTAATATCCGATAAATTACTTGTAACTATTGTGGGCAGAAGGTGTAAGGTGGTACCCCTTTTAAATGTCTGTTATCAAAGTATTTCTAACAAATAGCATGTCGTAAAAATATACAAACGCACTCTCTACACTAGCGCCCTCTTGCGGCAAATTCATAAGTGGTAGCCCTCACTACGACGCAATTAATTAAAAGTTAAAACCATGTTAGGGGCCATTCATTAATTACTTTCAATTATAATTAAATAAAAATATATAAATTCAATTTTGACCATTTTTGAACCTTATTTTTATATTTATATAACGTTCTAATTTCTTGGAGTCCCTTCCCCCTTCTTACGTAAGATTTTATCCTGTTTGAGAAATAGATGAATTGCACTGCACTATAACTCATATTTTGGCGTAAATCAATCAATCAAGATTTTTTTCCATTAAAAAAGAGAAAATAGACCTCGACGGTTGTTTTCCCCAACGCTTAGCACTCAAATATCCGTATATAAATATTACGTAAGAATGGCTTTTACCCCCTGAATGGTTCCTTACATCTTAAGATCTTATTTGACATTTTATATTAAAAAATTTTTTTGGTATTTTGTCGCAGTTTTATTTGGTTCCCGACGTTTCGAATGCTTTATAGCAAACAACGTCCGTTCCTATGTTTCCTATAAAACTCGTGACAAAATCCGAAAAGATAGTTTAATTTAAAAAAAGTTACATCTTTGGTATGGTGAACTATTGTCAGAAATAAATTTCATAGATTTTAGAGTGACAGCAGCAGCAAGTCCATTAAAGCTGTTTTTAATTTTTATGAAGTTAATCATTTTTCAAAATCTTATAATTTTTATTTAGCGCAAAAAAAACCTCTACTGTTATTGGTACGCCTTATTATTTGGCCCCAGAATTATGTGAAGGAAAACCATATGATACAAAGAGCGATGTTTGGGCTTTAGGCTGTTTGCTTTACGAAATGTGTACACACAAAAGGGCTTTTGAATCAGAGGTAATGAAAAATCATTAACTCCAAAGTAAAATTAATATTTTAATAATAAAAAACCTTTCAAACGAAATTTTTGTCTTAGTTAATATATTGGTCGCTGTAACCAAATCAACAAAGAAATATAGTTAAAAAGCCAACAGATGGCGTTATAATGTTTCTTTAAAAAATCTATTTTACGTTTTAAACTTAAAGTAAATTTTAATTTTCAGACACTTGTCGGCTTAGTCAAGGCTATAACAAGTGGAAGTGTTCACCCAATCGATTTGACTGTCTATGAGAGAGGCATTCAGGATCTTATAGACTCAATGTTATCTATTTTAGCAGACAAACGACCGACAATAAAAGAGCTAATAGGCAAAAAGATTATCTTACAAATGATCTACACTGTATATTTAGATGCTGGCAATGATGATTTATTGAATTTGAAATTTAATAATTTGTAATTTGTGATTTTAATGGACATAAATATTAATATTAAATAAAACAATGACATATTTACTTATTATTTTATTTAAAAAAATATTTTACTTGGCTTACGTTTATATTAATAGATAATAAACCACAGTAACGTTGGAATAAGTGAAAATGTTATAATTTAATCTGAAATGTGAACCATTAAGTTCAACGAGACATTGGTAAATATCTCTATATTAATTTGTGTAGTATCTGTCTTTGAAGCCAAATATGTACCATGATGAAATATGAACCAAAGTAGTATACACTATTCATATCAGCTTAATAAATGTATGGGAAATCTGTTTCTTGTGAGTGTAGCCTGTTTTTACAGCTATAACACCTGATTGTAGACAAACCTTATCCTGCTTGACCATTTGTTTGATCAGTTTCCATCTCCTCATCCTCATCTTCTGAAAACACAGAATCAAAAAATCATTAGACTGCTATTATTTACCAATCTTATTATTTTTTAACTTATTAACACTCATTCGTATTATGTATATTACTATACTGAATTAATATTAGTTTTTTGGTCGATAGCTATATATAATAATAATAATGTCCTCCTGACCGATTCCAGCCACGGCGGCCAATCTCATTGAGACTAGCCAACTGCGCAGGAGATATTATAGTGCAGCGCGTGTACGCGCAGACACAACGTGCACTCTCTATTCCTGTCACTTTCATACTTCGGTGGGAAGATAGATATAGAAATATAATATAGAAATATAATATATAAATATACCTATATAAATATAATATGGAACCCTTTGTTTGCAAGTCTAACATGGCCTTTGTCAATTTTTATATATTTTTACAATTAAGAAGTCAAATTAAGAGTCTAGAAATATAATTTAGTTAGAGAAATATAATTTATTTTTAAGAAATTTCATTATTTGACTTGCATTCCTGTAAATACATCCGAATGTAACCTCAACCCTGAAACTTTGTAACAATGTCCAATTAATAAATATTACCAACCATATTACTTTGAAAATTTTAAGGTAAAATAGAGTCAAAAACCGAATATGAATTATATGAAAATTAATATTACGTTGTCCATTGGTTTGAGACTGTGGCTGTAATGGCTTCTGTCCAGGAATCTGACCAGATTGTAACATTCTAGTCAGACGCTCAACCTCTTGAAGGGATGAAGCATTTTTAATGGCTTCTCTGATTTTGTGGATTTCTTGAGGTGTAAGATCTAAAAAATATATATTATTAACTTAGAATTTCATATTCAAAAACATTATATATCTTATAATATTAAATAAGCAGTTCTTGTATATATATAAATTCATTTCATGTATTTCAGAAATGGCCCTAAGGATTTGGATATGTATTTAGAGACGGTTTTCCTTTTTAAGTTTAACATTTTTATTTGTAAAATATCTTTCCTGAAAAACGCAGATCGAAGCTCAGTCACCAAATACTTTTCTATAAAAGGAAGTATGTATTTAAAATATTTTTCTACATAAGACTTTCAGTTTTATAATTATTAATATTAAATATACTAACTTGTAACTTTAGCATCTGGCATATTCCCTCCTGGTACAAATGTTTTGGCTTTTTTAATAATTTCTTTCTGAATTTCTTTTCCTTTCTTGCTCTTAAATAGAGAGTTGGCTTCATCTCTTTCTTTTTGTTTAATTTTTCTAAAGTCTAGTAGTCTTAGTTCTGGTAGCTTATATGCAATATATGCTCTGCAAGCAAATACATTGTAATAAAAAGCATTAACATGTCCATACTAATACTATAAAGGTGCTGAAAGTGTTTGTTTGTTAATCCTTCTTTCATATAGAAACAGAGTGACAGATTAGTGTGATTTATTGTGTGGAGATAGTTGGAGGGCTGGACAGTGACACAGGTTACTTTTTACTAGAGAAGATTATTTCATTTCCATGGGAAAACACATTATAATACAACTCACAAGAACTCATCATACCTATGTATATACATTATATTTCATACTAACAGTTAACATGTACCTAGGGATAAACATGAGGGAAGCGAGGGTGAATCGATAGTATTATATAAACTGTAAAATTTGAATATAATATTATACCACTGGGGAGTGGTAGCCCAGTGGTAACGCGCGCGTTTGGGAAACCTAGTGACGCGGGTTCTAATTCCGGGTTTCGCACTTGGGATATTTTCACATGTGAATCATAACATGATTGCCACTTGCCTTACAGAGAAAGAAAATATCGTGAGGAAACCTGCACGTCTGAGAGAACCTAGAAAGCTTTCGAAAGACATGTGAAGACTGCCAACCTGCACTTGGCCAGTGTGGTGGACTATGCCCTGATCCCCATCATATTGAAGGGAGGCCCGTGCCCAGCAGTGGGACGCTAAAAATGGCTGAATACAATATTATACCAAAGAGTAAAAACACATGTATAATGTTTTCAGTTAACATACCTGTAATGTTGTTTGTTTGCTACAGGATTGTGCATCAGTGAAAGAGTCCGTAGCTTAGGAAGTGTTGCTAATGGATCCAAATCACCTAACTCTGCTATATTATTGTTAGTTAAAATAAGTGACTCCAAATTAGGTAAATACTGCTCCAAATTTTCACCAAGACGTCTGTCAATAGGAAATAATATTAAAATCTGTTATTGTGATCATAATTTATAGAATTAAGTATCAAATAACTTTAATAACTTACACAATTCTGTTGTTATTTAAGAATAAGCATTTCATTCTTTTTAATAAAGGAAACCCATCTAACTTTCTGATATCATTGTCTGAAAAGTCTATCGTATCAAATTGATCTAGTGTTGCGCCTAAATTTTCTATTTGTGGAATTTTGTAACCTGCAAAAGTTTTACATATTATGTGATGTATATAAAACATTAATGAACTTAAATTGGAGGGTAAACTCAATATATAAATCTAAATAATGTAAGCATAATGCCGCTATTTGTAAAATCATCCGTTACAAAGATGTTTGTAAATATTTAATATTTAAAAGTTACTTCAAACAAATTATAATTAATATTTGCGACAAAATAAAATAATAATAACTAGATACTAACCTCTAAGATCTAGTTCACGATCTTTACAGGGATTAATATATTGCATGGAATTTTGTATAAGTTCCGTGGTTAATTTTACCATTTTGAATTATTTAAAGATACAAATACTTAAATATATATTAATTCTAGATTAGGATTAATAATTTTAAAAACGCTTTACGATAAGAGCAAGGACGCTTCGTATTTAACAATCATGGATGACAATTGACAACAAAAATCAAAATCAAATTCATCAATGACAATTGACATGAATCAAATAGCAACTCATAGATAAAATATGAATATTGTATATACACCACAGAGTAAATATAAATAATATAAACTCAAGAGATAGTGATGTTTAAAACGTCGTGTTGTTAATAAAATTGATTTTATTAAAAGATCGTTCAAAATTTATTTTCTTTAACCACTTGAATGAAGCTCGCTGGTACCTATGGGCACCACTTCCGGCGTTACCACTAAACCCCGCTGGTGCCTATATGCACCACCTCGCCCGCTGCACTTTTATCATTTATTACAAGACAAAATTAGTTTTGTTTTGCTAAATGAGTAATACACGCAAACTTTAGAAGTTTTATAAAGAATATAAAAATAAAATTTTAATTAAACGCCGACAACGTTAAAAATAAACGCGTCAAATATTGTTTAAACTTCAAGTGAAGCGCGCGTGGCTCGCTATGGTTTTTGTGTAATTTAAAATCCTTAAACTATTTATTTTAGTATTCTTTACCACTATTGAGATACTTATAAGTGTACAATCACGTTATAAAATTAGATTTTCGGTCCAACAAATCTTCGTGTATAAAATTCGTAAAATAAGTCGCACTTATATAACATGAACTAGCGACTCACCCTCACTTCACTTGGGTTCGTCCTTAGGTACATTTGATACATAATGTCGATGATTTTTTGGAGTTTCGCTAGTGGGTTCTGCTAGTGCTTTATTCTTTTGTATTTAGTTGAAAGAGTTAAGAGATATAGATAGTATTAGCTTTCTTCTTTAATATAATAAAATCCGTTAGCTATTTTTATTTCTTAATATTATTTATTTACTTATAACAATAATTAGTATTTCATTAATATATTTTATATGTTGTTTTAAAACATATATTATTTTAAAACATAATCAATCTACAAATCTTTATACTTAGTTCTATGACATTCTGTGTATTTTACCTATTCTTTGTCCTAAGAGTAAAAGCTTAATGCTATAACACATATTATGTTCATTCCTTCATGTTCATTCACTTATTTTCATTTTTTTACTTCACTTTTTACACAGTCGTTTTTGTTCATATTTTCTTATAAATTCGAAGAAGTTGAAAAAGGGAAAAATAATAAAAAAATTTTTTTGGTTAATCCCTCATTTATTATATGTACATAAGACATAATTTAGGTATACGTTTCATTTATTTAAGTAATCATCAACTAGGTCAAATACGAGTATTGTTTGTGTTTGGGAACTTTAATAAATATAAAATTAAAAAGGAACAATAAATATAGCAGTAATATTTACCTCTTTCTTTCTAAAGTCTCAACCAAGCCTTGTGAAATGCGCCTTACAATTTTTGTCGTCGAGTTTGAAATGTCTAAGGGTCTAATGATTTTTTTAATTTTAAATTACCTTTTAAATACTTATATGATATTTTCTACTTTAAGTTCATCTCAACTCTCACATACCATTTACTTTCAAACGTTTTCGTGGTAACTTGTAGATGTGTCTGAAAATAAAACTCGAGTCCTTCTGGTGAAATCGAACATTTCTTGAACTTTGAGTGTTTCACATCGATACTGACAAAAATTCAGAAAACTAAAATCGCAAAAATTTTTTTTTTAAATCGTAACTGTAATTGTAAAAGTTTAACGTCATAAAATTTAGATTTTTCATTAAAAATATATTTCAAATAGTAATAAATAATTGGTAAATGGCATATACGTATGTAGGTGTATTATGTATATTAATAAATATATATAAAATATGAAAAGAAAGGGAAAATAAAAGATACGTGGTATTTTCTTCAAGTATTTTTTATTCTAAATACATTAATATTCTTTAATTCAACTCAAATATTCATTTAAACTATTACAAGCTAGTTTATTTTAAACATAAATAATAAGTAATGCAAATGTCCAGCATTGCACACTTTTAACTCAGTATTTATAATTTAACTAGGTTTTATCCAATCTTAAGTTTTAGTTCCTCATACTGAACAACATATATAACACTGAAACCGCTCTGCGAAATACTTATAAGGTAAATTCTAAACAAGTAATTCGAAAAAGTGACATGCCAGATGCACATAGACAATACAATGAAATTAGGTAAACATCGTTCTTTGGTAGTTAGCTAACTGTGATAGATGACTTATAAGGTAAGTAATAGGTGAGTAAAAAACGCGCCAAGTGTCGCATACCGAACATGTACATGATATAGCTTCTATAGATTAACCGCACTCACTGCATTATCAATATAGGTACATCAATTTATACTGAAATTAAGATTAACAACGAGCTTAATACCAACTAGTTACACGTTTTACTAGGTTTAATTGAGTTATTATCGGTACAGTGTCAGCCAATAGGTCGGCCGATATAGATTTGTTCACAATAGAACTAGAAAAGATTGGGTGCGCACGTACATCGCGCGAATTTCACACAGATCTAATAGTATTAACGTAATTTACATATACATATTATGTATATTATAACACAAATGTTTCTAAGCGTAATGTTTCTATTACACACAATTGTAGTTAAGCGTTTTTTTTAATATTTTTTGTCCTCGTACGACATACCATACTATAATCTATGCTTTAAAATCAGACATTTTATAAACATGGCGACACCGTCTGTACTTATTCTCGCCGAATAAAATCTTAATTTACCTACGAAAATAATGTACATTGGACCTTCATTCTTGACACAGATGAATGATGGAGCGAATGACATTAACAATACTTGTAAATAATACTCTATTTGTAGGATACAATGTCTGATATATAAAGGGGAGAAAAACGTAATTAATCAGATAACGAATATCTTCTGAGTACATGAAAGTATAGAGACCAGCTCACAATTATAATCATATTACACTAACATCGATGGATACGTAAAATGCAAACGATAAATATTATTTAGTATGACATGTTTACGCATAATACTTACAATAAAGTTGCCAAATTAAAGTAAAAAAAAAAAAATAGTTTCGTAAGACATAATCGTTGGCTCACTATTACAAGGTTCTATGTTAACTTTAATAAAGTTTAGTAATTTTTACATAGAACTTCGTTATTTTGTTATCGTAAAAAAAACAACATAGAACTATGTAAAATTGAATAGTTTGTAGTTTAAGTGCCGCTATCTAGTGGTTTGTTTTTGCAAAACTGTAGCTAATGACACATAGAACCTTGTAGCATTAATAACTGAATAAGTACTAAAATTGTAACATAGAACCTTGTAATTGTGAGCCAACGATATGTATTCGCAGTCGGACCGCAGAGGTCAGCGGTAAGCTTTGTTCATATCTATAATATGAATTAACATAGTAACTTATTATAAATGATGGCATGAGAATTGTGCGAGTTTTTAAATTAACTATTTAGTACGTTGCTATTGCAAGACCCGGCCCGCGTGCCATTTTTGTAATGCACTTAATATTTAGTTTAGCAAACATTTAAACTTTCAAGAGAAAACTTAGTAGCAAAAGACGCTTTGTTAATACTTATAATCAAACACTTCAAGCCGTTAGTTGAATACACAAACATTTTAATATTCTAGACGATTCATGACTTAATTTTTGGGGTAAATGAACTAGAATACAGTTTGTAATTTATAAAAATAATACATTACTCTAAAGAGAAAATAATAGGATCGCCAGCGATCCTTTAAACGAAATGAGGTGCTATCAGGTTAAAAAATCAAGTAAAGCTATCTATCTAACAGGATGAATTCGGCTTGTGTCTTCTCGCAAAGAGACTAGCCGAATATTTCATATTAAGAAAAAAGACAAGAAAGACAACAACTCCGAAAGGCATTTTTAAAAATTTACCTTAAAATAGTTTTATATTTAGGAATACCTATCATGTTAATATATTTTGGTGAATAACATCATTATCGCAAACCCGTATTAAATATGAGAAACGTGGATGATATGACAATATAAATTACCCTTTCATACCAATTAATAAGCGTTTTCAATGTTCTTACATAGCCGACCCGGTACACGCGGTCGGCGTCTAAAATCTACTTACACTCTTACGAATCGAAGACAAACTACTCACAGGGATCGAACAAACGCAATCACCACTTCTTTGGTTAGACGAAACAAAACCATAGACAACCACTAGAAAATCGAATGTACAGTCATTGGAGGGACAATTTTGTCGTTAATTCTAAACAACATTGCGTAGTGATCACGTGATATATTTAACTGAAATGTTACGATATACAATAATCGTCACGTTTCAAGAGTAAGCGTCAACAAGTAATGGCGTAGCTAGCCTTTGCATAAGTAAAAGCAGATCCCCAAAACTCCTATTGGAGCCACACATAATAATATACTATACACATGTTGCTTATGCGTAAATATTATTAATATACTATAACTTTAAAAATAAATAACTTTCACTTCCGGTAACCATATATAATAATTAATATGAAAACCATTCCAAAAGGTATTTGAGAAATAATATACTTAAGCCAGAGAACTACTTCAACTTCGCTGTGCAATAGCTACGCCACTTCTATTATTTATCCAACGAAAGTACGCCGGAACAACCCTTTTGCGCTCTACTGCCAGAGCTTCCACCAAACCTGCATCTTTTCAGAAAGTTTCTTACAGATTCCCAATAGTTTCCGTCACATCCCACCATCCCCTTCACCCTCGCAATCTTCTGAGCCTTCACCCTCTTCGAGCGTTACCTGAAAATAAATAAAAAAACATGTATAACTATCATCGAATTCATGTAGCAGTTCTAATAGTCTCTCTATTCTTGAGTATAATTAATAATTATAATATAGTGATAATATGATAATAATTTTATGGCCTTTTCCTATATTTTAGACATTATGTTTAATTGATAGTTGATTATAAGTAGTAGTGCAAGTGCTGTGCTTATTTAAGTATTGATATACGTAATTTTTTTTGTGTTTTGGTTTTTATAATTAAAACAACAATAAACTTACTTGAAAGCGTATTTGTTCGGGGCGATCATCTTCAGCTCCTGAATGTGATTGGACTGGTACTGGTGGTGGTGATGGAGGAATCATACTTTGGTAGTAGTCGCGGTTTTCTTCCAAAGTGTCCAAAATGTCCTGGGCATCTGGATGCACAAGATCTGCCCATGTCTCCCATAAAGGATGCACTATGTAGTCGATGAATCCAACTTGGGATTTTTCAATAGTAGCGTTATGCCTGTCGCACATGGGACTTATATCCATTCCTTGTTCTCGTTCACGGTCACCTTGTTGGAAGAACTCCTCCATTAGTAATGCAACCCAGCGCTTGTATAGCGGCAGAGGTTTAGTGGGATTGCTTAAATCGGCACAGTGTACGAGGTTCTCCAAAACTTGTATTCGGTCCGTGTAATTGTCAAGTAACAGGACTCCGCTGCCAGCCACTTTTTTAGTCTCCACCATAGTTTTAAGATCTGCGAGTAGGCTCATATGTTTCGACATATCTGTTGAGAGCACCATATCGATAACCATTTTCCTCAAAGTTTGCCTCTGCTTTTTGTGAAGATTGACGAAAATATCACACCCGTCGTTTTGTAGAAGCTTGAAAGCTACGGCCAGGTGATGATTTTCGAGGACAGATTCATCATTGTACATAAGGGCCAATTCAGAACTTGAATTCACGAGGAATTGGTTCGTAAGGCCTGGATGGTCGACATCGTGTACGCATGCTGCAAATAAAGCGGCACACACTTCTATTGGTGTAAACACGGCGTCGAGAGCGGGAGTGTTCAAGAGTACATTTGTTGATTGTGTCACGTCAGCAGCGTGTAATGAGTTATGGAACGGATTGTCGCGTATGTAATGTTCTTCCAGAGTGACAGAGAAGGCGATGAAAGTACGTGCTGGAATCTGCAGTGTCGTAAGTAGCTCCCGAGATGTAAAAGCAGAGTAGGCGACTGCAGTGAGTGGGCGCCCACAAGAGAGATCCCCTATGCGGAAAATATCGACACCCCAGCGATCGAGTTCACCCAATAATTGTCCCAGCTCCTCTTCATGAGGTGTTTCAACGCCGTATCTCGGCACCCGTTCTCCTGTGAAGCTGTTTGTATGTGTAAGGGCCCTTTTAACGCCAGATATCTGCAAAAAATATTCCATTAGCACGAATAAATTGTTATAGTAATAATGTGACGTTTTATTAAATTATATTAAATATTACTTTAATAAGTTTAAAAAAGAACAATGCACGTTCGAACCATACCTACGGTTTTTTAAAAGATTAATTAATATCTAGTTTTTGTTGTTTAATACTACTTACTTGTGACATTGACATTGTGGCCGCTGGACCGCCATGACGTGGCTTTTCCTTCTTCTTGATCCGTTCAGTATTCTCTTCGACCTGCAGCGATGGCAAATCGAGCTCTTGCTGTTTGTCTGTAATATGAAAAGCATTAAACTATTAAATAACTATTAAAATTCTTATTAAGGAATCAAATCTTGAAATTTGGTTTTAATCTATTCATGTGATATCTTTCTAAATAAATAAATAAATGTGATTTCTTTGTAATTCCACCTGTTTTTTATTCGAATTGAAGTCTGTTTCAAATATTGTATATTATTTTATTTTTTTTGGTGTAATTTGTATGTTGTGTTTATATACATATAATATTTAAAAAGTTTATAATACTAATTTATTATTGTAGTAATGTAGATATTATGTAAATATTTTATAAAATCTCCATATTTACATGGGGTATTCACTTTAAAAGGTTTAAAAGGTAATGTATTTAGCTATTACTAAAGGAAACATTACTCGTATATACTAATAAATTGTAATATTGTAATTGCCACTGGTGAATTTAATGAATAAATAAAATAAATATCGATTTGAAACTCTTGGCAAATCTAGAATATTTCTGCTAAAACCGGATGACAATTGACAATAATTTGATACCATCAAGCAATTCGATCAGAGAGAGTTGATTGATGGAGATAGATAGTGGTACTCGACAATAGATATTAACAAAACCTTCGAGATTGCACTCATTTGATTTCTTTTGACAAATCTCATATTATATTAAGTACATGGCAATAGCGCTCTTTCTAAGGTATTTCATTAAATAAATTGCATACAAATGAACACTTTTCTTTATTAAAATATTCGTTATATTACAATGAAACAGTATAAATAGTATAAGCGTAATTTTTCATAAAACTTTAGTGTACCTAAGCGTGATATTTTAATAAATATTTTAGTAGTATTTTTCATCTAAGTACATAGATTATGTTATTTCAACAATAACACAGTGTACGGCTGATAACGATGCCGACGAGCGGTCTAGTAAGTAGTGCTGAATTATGAAAATTAAAATGCGCATATATATTTATTATAAGCACCTATTATTATATCTGTTATCTTAACCGAAATTGTGTCATTGGGTTTCAATGTCGAAAGAAAGTAGGCGAGCGGTACATGAAGTGGTTAATATACGCGATTAATATTTATTTCTGGGTCACTAACATTTACTATACAATATAAGCTGATAATGAATTAATCAAAACTCAAATTTATATTATTAAGGAAAAAAAATAGTAGTAGACGCAAAAATAGATATGTACATTAATCTTACTAACATAAAAGCTAATTTTAGCATTTTATATGGAGTATGTACTCGCGAATGGCTGACAAGATGAGATTAGAATGTTGAGACATGATGAAATAATCCTAAATGTACACTTAAGAGGGATTAATATCTCCTAGATAGATATACGCAACAATTTTATACCTGTGACAGTACTACGCGTCAATTTTTATATCTAATCGATAGAGCGATATAGGATAATCATATTTTTATATGAATCTATTTAGATTAAGCAACACAAATCTCCCATTTTACTTTACCCGATATATTTGGATAAATGTTATATCGCTATTTCAGTCAAGGAAAATAAACATTGTTAAGCTTGAACGATATAAACGTCATATTAAGTTATTATTATATACTTATTGCATATTTATGTTATCACATTAATGAGATATAAATTAATAACAGCATAAGAAATGCTTTTAGTAAATTAATGAAAATAATAATTAAATAATTAATTATTATATGATAAATATATATTAGCGCTTTATATAAAACAGTTGTAGTGTAGTGGGTTTTGTGTCTTACTGTTAGATAATGTATTCTATTAAATCAAAGGTTTGGTGAGGATTTGTTTAAGGGAAACCAATATTGGGCAACACAGAACAGAACAGAGTGAAGAAGATGATATCCGTCTACTAGGAAAGGTAAAGTATAAAGACGAATAACATATTAGCCTTACAATGTTACTAGTATATACAGGAACATAATAATAATACCTAGCAGGGTCAGTACGAGTATTAAAGCACAAACAAATTAATTATGTAGTGACCCATCACGCCATCTCCGCCGCTCAACAGCGATCTTAAATATCTTCATATTAAACCTATTCTATACATAGCGAGGTTGCTCATAGGATAATACTCAAATTCCTTTAATATAAATGTTAGATATAAAAAAAAGTTTATCCTCATACAATTATTGTCGCTTTTTAATTTGTATTTTTTAATAGATTTTTTTTATTTAAGAGATTAATGCCCGATTTCACCAACGTCACTTAAGTTTAAGGGATCCCCTAAGCATTGTTAGGGGGATGTTAGGGGACAGTTTCTGTTTCACCGACAGTTAGGGGTCACCTAAATATTAAAAGGCCCCCTAAATTTAGGTGCTCGAAATATGGGCTTAAAGACGATCGTAAAACGAAATTTAATTTAGGGGCTAGTTTAGGGGATTTTTAAGCTAGGGATCCCATACGTAGGTGGTAGCTTATGGGTTGTTGGTGAAATCGGGCATTGTACTAATAACAAAATCATTATAAAAATATATCTACATAAGCTAAAAAAGATTTTTTTTAAGAAATAGGATTTGTTGTGTACAGAACAATGAATCAGCAATACATTATTAAAAGACATTCTTTAAATAAAAACAGTTCATGATTACGTTTTGCCTTGGTTCTAATTATAGGTAATAGTTGTCATTGAAAATCTCAAATCAATATGAAGTAAATGTACTTTTCTGTATGGATTAATTATACATTAAGTATACCTAAGTATAGTGATGTACATACACAAAGGTTATCCAACAATTTTTTTTTTATTATAACTCTGAATATTTATGTATAATAAAAATGAAACGATGTTCTTGGTAAGAGCGTTCGTTTGTTTTTTTAAATCGTAATAGACCAATTTAAGTTTTTAGGAAAAACAAAACTTTTTCTAAAAACCTACCGCGTTCATATGAACGGAAATATCACAAGCATTGAAATTTGGACACTACAGTGTTTGTTGGGTCAGCTAGATTATGGTATATAACACATTACAGACTCTACGTAGAGCACTAAATAAACAACTGACACCAATTTTAAAGCCTGATATAGTATTTGATATAAAATTAATTTAATAAATTTATTTCTGGTCACTACTAACTTTAGTTTAATTCCAATTATTAATATTTTTTTTATAATTAACAAGTGTGAATGGAAAAATGTTCTGTTCCTACTGCTCCATCTTGTAATAAAAAATGTTTTATTTCTGTGTTTAGTGTTTACATTAAATTATAATAAAAGTGTTATTTTTTTACTACCTATACATAAAATATGATGGCGACGTTAACATACATAGGTGCAATTTAAAATTAATCCAACATAAGTAGCTTATTTTTGTTGGACTGTTATCAACTATTTTGTTATTGTAGAAACGAATAAACAAGACACAGTTAACTAGAAGGTCGCCAATAATTTATAATTTGTTTTGCATACATACCCAAGAAGGTCGAACAGATGTACTCCGATATCTGATTGCCGGATTTGCTGGACTCCGAGAAGTGGCTCAGCTCCTTATTCAGCATCCGTTTGAACTGCAATTGCAAGATCTCGATTGAGTGTGCCATCTTAGCAGCGCGGCGTTTCAGCCACCGTGCCGGTGCGCATCGTACACACTGTTTTTCGGCGCACGCGCGCATTTCACAACACATGTAGATAGTTTTTTAAAAGTTAAAACACAAAGTAAATATTTTGAGTTCAAAACGTATTATTCCGATATACCGCGCAAGCGAAATTATTTGATAATAAATTGCGAACAAATTATACGTCTGTTATTCACGAGCGCTATCTACAAACTGAAACGTCGTGATATGGCACCTCGCACTTAGCGTAGCGTTAATCGTCATCGACAGACGACCACAGTGTACAGAAATATCGTGTTCTCGGTATAATGAATTACTGGTAATATATTATGTACGTTCTAAGTTTTCTAATTTTCTCTTAGGTGACGTCGTAGAGTTAATTTAGCCTAATTCGCTGACTAAGTGGTGTTTCAACTAGATTTGTTGTCATAAAGTATGACTAATTATTTAATAACATATAACGTTATGGTGCTAGTGATCAAAAGCTCTTCATACAGATTTTACTTCCATTGGCGTCTGTCCATAATCAGTTTTATCTAGAACAAGCCACAGATTAGACTATGTTGAAATAGAGTCGCATATAAATTGGTCTAATAAAGCTCTCAATGAATGATGATTTACAGCTCGCTTAACAACGAGGTTAGTAAAATTGTTATATTTTAAAGAGCAAAACTTTCAAATACACTCTGAATAAATTGTCTTTTCATATACGGATAGTAGAACACGTTTGTTTGACATTATTATTAATTATTATAATTTGACTAGATATAATATGTAATTAAGTTTCTTGCGATACATACATTTATAATATCTATGCAGGGTAAACATTGCAACATATTAGATAAAACTAGGCCAAATTCCTGCTATCAGAATTCATATCAGCTTGAAAATTACCTGATATGCAGCCAGCGTGAGTTCCATTAAAGCTTATTGCTAACAGCACGTGCGTCATTCTTACTCGTAAGTATTCTAAGCTTCAACGACAACTTTTGTAAATCTAGATATGCTCTTGACACAGTTTCTTATCGTTTTTCAAGTTATCCCTGATGACAGAACGCTTGGTACAGGAAATGACACAACGAAGTTTTGTTAGGAAAAATGACGATACCAATCTTGTATGGTGTTAAACAGCTGTGGCATGTTAATTTGCTTCATTTTCAAGGAATATGCGGGTATTCGGTACTTAATGTAATTTTACTAAGCGTACGTTGAGTTTTTTTTTAATTTAAATACTTATTACTGCTTTAAACTCTACAAAAAGTAACTATTTCGAGCCAAATGACTAGATCGACAGGATATAACAATTGGCGCTTTTATCGCGCCATTCACCATTTTTTCTTATAAATCGTTATTGAATCACAAAAACTTACTAAAATTCAATGAAATAGCAATACAAAAGTTGGTAATAAGGCAAGTCATAGTGAGAGGGATTTAAAATAATTGGTGTACCTACTTACTGAAAAACCACATTTTTACTTCAATTGTTTTTATGTATTCTCGTAAGTAAAGTATAAGAATATTGAGCATGAATCATGCTTCAAATTATATGAGAGACGTTTCCATAGAATTCATTGTATGAGGAAAAGGGGGAATAAAGATAAATGAGGAAGCATGAGCGGAAACTTATGTACGTTATTCCTCTAATCAATCCCTGATGGAATTTTACTAAAAAAAATAAAAAATAAAAAAAAGAATACTTTTATTGACTTAAAGATTACATTCCAAGCTAGTCGCAAGGGCCCCTGTACTAGGTGTAGACCCGTATTACTGGGTGCCCCGCTCATCCACCAAGACCAGAAAATCAACGAACAGAGAGAAAACAAACTTTAAATTTAGAATAAATTACATGTATATGTGTGTGTGTGTGTGTGTGTGTGTGTGTGTGTGTGTGTGTGTGCGTGTGTGTGCGCGTGTGTGTGCGTGCGTGTGTGTGTGTGCGTGCGTGTGTGTGTGTGTGCGTGCGTGTGTGTGCGTGCGTGTGTGTGTGTGTGTATGTGTGTGTGTGTGTGCATGTGTATGTGTGTTAAAAATCACGTTAGTTCTCTACAGTGTGCGTAAAGAATTGTTTTTAATTATGCAAAGAAATACTTCTTTCCTCGGTATAAGTATATATTATAACATTTTTATGTAGATTACGTAAGGAAAGTGCTCTATGAGTTGTGTCGGTGTATTCTATATAACACCTTTGTAAAGTAGGTAAGCGTTTATGGCCTAATATTTACCGTGCCTACGTCGTAAACCTGAATAAACTTTATGTAACCTAATTCTTTTAATATTTATAGTTAGTTACATCAGTATTATTGTGATCCATTTTTTACTACAATATTTTTTTAAACTATAGATAAATATTAGAGAATGCTGTATGCTGTAAATAAAACTTTTTTTTTAAAGTTTACAATAAAATGTTACATATATGTACAATCGAATACCATCAAGTGTTTGAAATGTGGACTAATTATATATTGATATAATAGGAAGGACAAACGGACAGACGAACGAGGTAACTTAAATAAAAGCTTCACTAATACAATATATATGTACATATTTTTTATTCATAAATGGAGCTAATACTTGCTAAGCTTGTAATATTGCGAAAGTGGCTGCAGACTAATCTCATTCTCGTATAACGATAATATTATGAATCACCGCAGTCGTGACATTTCTCGCGTTATATTCTATCTAGTCATCTGAGAAAGAGTAACGGATATTATGTTCTTTATATATTTGTAGTGTGCCTACAATACGTACTTATTATGTGCTGGCTAGCACGTACTTATGTAAGGTATGTTAACCTTTATGTTACCGTCATCGATCAGATTTATTTAACCTATTCATTACGATAATAACAATATATATATAGTAAGACTACACTTTGCGCGCGACTCTGATCGCATATTTTGTTTATGCATTGGTCTCTCTCTTAAAAACGTCATCGTACAGGTAGTATGTTCAATGAATAGGCGATAAAATCCAAAAGAATTTTCAAATCTGACTGGTAATTCTAGAGATTTGCAAAATACTATATAAAATTAAAATAGAAAAAAAATCTATTTAATACACATTTCTCTTCAGCTTTCAAATTATAAGGTACCTAAAGAATAGAAAAAAATATTGTATGTTTACATTTGATGAGTCTAATAACATTTCGAATGTTTTTAATATTTCTTTTGGTACGTGAATACCTTCCTTTATATTTGGGCTGCGATAATATACGAGACGCTAAATAGAGGAAAATAGACAAACGATGCGATTTACAAACGTTGTTTTCACTTTTTTCGCCGAACCGTTGTTTAATACGAATTCTGGCAACAGCTTCCGTTTCACCCACGCGTTTATCGCTATTTAATTATTATTTAAAGAGAATTCAGAATTCATACTAATGTAAATTTCATGATTTAAGCGTAACGAGGAGGGAAATGTCGAGTAAAAAAATTCTCTTGATGGAAATGAAGCTATTGTAAATTGTTACTATACTTCAAAGATTATATGAGATCTTAGAATATTAAAGTTGAAAAAATATAGAAGTTGAAGAGTAATTAAAAAAAAAGCTTTTAGTTTGAAACTAAGCTTTTTAATTATTCATACATTTTACAAATTCAATAAAACAGTTAAGCTTTATCGGGTGTCCTTGATTAATCATATTGTGTCAAAAATTATCATATTTATTTTTATTCATTTTAGATAACATTATGTATGTATATTTCAAGTGATTTAGACAATAAAGTAGAGGATTAAATATATATTTAATCTAAGTCACGAATAAATTTTAATTGTAACGGACGGCTCCTTCTTAAGCCGATTTTATCCGAAAGCTCGAGACACGTTCCACTAAAAACGAACTCAAGTGCGTGAGGCACAGGCTGTCAGGCAGGTGCCAGGGCGCTTTAAATATGTAGAGAAAAAACTTAATTTTAGATTTGCTGGATTGAGTCCACCGTAGGCCTCACTTATCTCGAGATATTTTTATTATTTTTGTAACTTTAAGCGACATTTTTATACATATACTAGCAGAACCCGCGGCTTCACTCGCGTTAAAACTACAGAAAAACTCAAAAAAGAAGTAGGTTTCATACAAACTTTCATCCCCTATTTTACAATCTTATGGGATGAATTTCGAAAATTGTTAAAACACGTATTTATTTAATTGTATTGAAGAGCATTTATACAAGGTTTCAAGTAATTCTGATCATAAATTATTTTAGAGTTGGATTATACGTTATAATTCCCGTGGGAATGAGATTGTCTCCCGCGGTAAAAAGTAGCCTATGTCACTCTCCAGCACTCCAACTATCTCCACACAAAAATCACGTAAATCTGACAGTCCGTTTCGACGTGAAAGAAAGACAAACAAACACACTTCCACATTTATAATATTAGTATGGATTATAATTCTTCTGTACGTGTGTACGCTTATCATTGAACTCCTCCTCAAAGGATAGACCCATTTTGATGTTTTTTTTTGTATTTGAGAGGTTCCCTGGGTGGTTTAGATACACAACTGGACCCGGCGTTGCAGTCGGGTTCTAGGATTTTTTGTTTTTTGTTAAAGCCAAGGATTCGGACAGGACAACGTCTTCCGTGTCCTCTAGTATAATAAGAAATTAAAAGGATATTTATATTTTGACGACACGTTTGGTTCAATTTGTAGTGGCCCTACTTTCTGTGCCGGCGGTCGCGGGTTCGAGTCCCGGTGGGGGCATTCATTTGTGTGATGACGCAGGTTTGTACTCCAGTCATGGGTGTTTATATTTATAATATGTATGTATTTAAAGTTATATATGTGTAGTGTATCAACTATCTCATATCCATAACATAGGCCTCGTAGCTTACCATGGAACTAGATGGTGCTAAGTGTTAATGTCCCAACGTATTTATTTATTCTATCTTTATATATACAAGTCCATTTAGATCTACCTTCGCTTTGTTCAATATATGAAAGTGTGCAAGGCTAA